CGCCTACGATGATGAAAACGGGCACCTATCATGTGCTGAATAAGTGCTGGCAAATATAGAGAAGTGGACAAGAAATGGGGAAAGGCAAGAACAGAATCTGGCGGGGAACGGTGAGAAAGGGGGAAGACGGGGGAGTGACAAGACGCCTCAGGAGACCCCACCCCCAAGTCCCGAACCCCGAGTCCCGCCCCCTCCTCCAAGGGCCGCGGAGGGCCAGGCTGCAAGGCGAGAGCGTAGGGACACCCGCCGGCCCCGATCCTGAGCCTTCGAGAACGCGGCGTCCCACCGGCCCACGCTGGGGTATCCAGGACTCGCCTTGTTGGGCCGGGTCGGGCCCCACCACCCGACACACTCGCCCTCTCACCTTCACCTTCCTAGCCTCCCAGCGGCCATCATACCCCCGACGTCACCAACGAGCGCCACTCCCGGCAGAGGCGAAAGGAGGAGGGAGGACGCGCGCGTCACCAGCCGTCGCAGGGTCGCCGTTCTGGTCCCAGTGAGTCGGTGGACTCCGAGCTCAGCGGGTTCCACCCTGCTAACCCTTATGGGTCAGGGGTCAGCTGGCTCAGCTCCAGGAGAGGCGCCTTGGCGCCCTTATTCACCGCCAGGGCGTCCCAAACCGATGACGTACTGTCAGGACTCCCGCTGCATCACGGGGATCGTAGTTCCGCCAGGCGCCGGTCAGGGCTGGGGTGGGCGGGGCCACGAGCTGTCAAGGGAAAAAGAAACCAAGGGCGTAGGTTAGAGGTTCCCGCTCTTCTCTTTCGTTTGTTGCCCTAGAGCCCGACCCCAGCCAGAGCCTGTCTGCTCTGCAGTCCACGCTTGCGTTTGGTAATTGTAGAGAAGAGCTCTCAAGAGAAATTGAGGAAGCACGCCTGAGCCTGCCGCCCTTCAACTGACTTTGAGGAAGTAAGAATAGCAACAGTCCCTGAGCAGGGTACCCAGGGTATATCGTTTTAACCTTCACAGCAGCCCCAGCTGGCTCAGAGGGGAGATTACTGCAGCTCACATGTGGCAGCTCACTAGGCCTCATTATGTGCCAGGCATTGGGGGCACAGCAGTAAACAGGCTCCTGGTGGCCTCAGCGACGGAGGAGAAGGAGCCAAGGCTGTGCTCTCCAGTATGGTAGCCCCTAGCCATGTGCCACAAGCAAGCTCCTGAAATGTGGCTGGTGCAAACTGAGATATGTAAGACTCAGTAGGAAAAGGAATGTCAACGATCTCATATTTTTATGTTGTGTGTAATGATATAGTATTTTTGGATAAGTTGGGTTAAATGAAATATACTACTGAAATGAAGCTCACCTGTTCCCTTCTACTGCTTAAAATGGGGCTACTAAAAGTCTAAAATCACACAACTGGCTCGCTGTGATATTGTGGTTTATAATAGTAACTATTTATTTGGTCTTCATTCACTGTTCCTGCCACAGAGCTCCTAAATACCTGATAATTACCTATATAAGAGCCACAGGGGCATCATCTGTTATATTTAGTTTTGTCCTCTTTTTCTGAAATACCTTCAGAACTATTCAGATAAAAGTGAAATGACTGTCTTTTATGAATCATACCTTTCAGACACAACTGAATTTATGTTAATGAGACAACTTTTGGAATGTTCCTAAGGATGGGGACTGGTTGCCAGGGAAACCCAATCACTTGATTAGAGGGTTGGAACTTTCAGCCCTACCACCCTCCTCCACCTCCTGAGAGAGGAGTTGGAGATTGACTTGATCACTAATGGTCAATGATTTAATCAACTGTGTCTATATTCCCAGTAAAAGAAAAATTCTTGTCTTGTCACAGAAAGAATTCAGAGACAGGGAGGTTAAGAAAGAAAAGCAAGAATTTATATAAGCAAAAGTATGCTCTCAAGAAGGAAATGGCAACCCGCTCCAGTATTCTTGCCTGGACAATCCCATGGACAGAGGAACCTGGTGGGCTACAGTCCATGGGGTCACAAAGAGTAGGACATGACTGAGCGACTGTCGCTCATCAATCACGCTCTCAAAGGGAGAGCAGACACAGGCAAGTAGCTGCCCTGAGTTTTCTTAGCAAGCTGGTTATGTGGTGCATACAAATGAAAGGGTGGAATAGTCATTTGGAACTGCAGGCTTGGGAGTCATATTCCCTGATTTTCATCCCAGCTTCTCCTTCTGGAGGGGAGGAGGGATTTTTGCCCTTATTTAGCCTTGATTGAAAGTGTTGTGGTATCAGTGTGTAATGGGTACTTCTTGTCTGCAAGGCTGGTTTTATTGTAATGAGAATATAATGAGCAAAAGGTTTAGACACCAGAGATTCCTGCCTTTTCTCAGCTTTGTCTGCCTCCAGTACACTTATCACCCCAAAATGTGTGGTTTCCTATCAGTCTGGAGGTTCCTACTTTTCTTTGTCTGACCATTACAGATGTGTGGTTTTCTGCCATCCAGCCCGTGCTTTCTCTGCTGATATCTAGCTACCTGCATGCTTTAATACTTACATAATGAGGTCTTCATAAAAAGCCCTGAACTACAGTCCAGAGAACTTCCAGGTTGGTGAACACGTGGAGGTGCTGGGAGGCGGGTGCACCCAGAAAGAGCATGGAAACTCATCACTCCTGCCCACATACCTTGTCCTATGTATCTTTCATCCAGCTGTTCTTTTTATTAAAAAAATTTTTAAATTATTTATTGAATTTTGGCTGTGCTGGGTCTTCATTGCTGCACAGGCCTTTTCTCTAGTTGCAGCCAGTGGGAGCTACTCTCTAGTTGCAGTGTACTGCCTTCTCATTGTGGTGGCTGCTCTTGTGGCAGAGCACAGGCTCCAGGCACAAAGACTTCAGTACTTGCAGCTCTTGGGTCCTAGTGAACGGCCTCAGTAGTTGTGGCACACAGGCTTAGTTGCTCCGCAGCATGTGGAATCTTCCTGGACTAGGGATCGAACCTGTGTCCCATGCACTGGCAGGCAGATTCTTATCCATTGTGACACCAGGAAAGTCCTGTGCTGTGCTGTGCTCAGTCACTTTAGTCGTATCCAACTCTCTGCAACCCCATGGACGCTGGTCTCCTCTGTCCATGGGATTCTCCAGGCAAAATGCTTGAGTGGATTGCCATGTCCTTACCCAGGGGATCTTCCAGACCCAGGCATCAAACCTGCATCTCTTGTGTCTCCTGCATTGCAGGCAGATTTTTTTACCCACTGAGCCATCTGGGAAACCCATGGAAAGTCCTAGCTGTTTTTAAGTGATATCCTTTTATAATAAACCAGTAATCTAGTAGCTAAACTATTTTCCTGAATTCTGTGAGCCAATGTAGTAAATTTAGTCAAACTTGAGAGGGGAGGGATCATGGGGATCTCTAGTTTACAAATGGTTAGTAGTCAGAAGCACAGGTGACAACCTGGACTTGCTTTTGGCATTTGAAGTGGGGACAGTCTGGTGGGACTGAGCCCTTAATCTATGGGATCTGATGCTTTGTTGTTCAGTCATTCAGTCATGTCTGACTCTTTGCAACCCCATGAACTGCAGCACACCAGGCTTCCCTGTCCTTCACCATCTCCTGGAGCTTGTTTAAACTTATATCCATTGAGTCAGTGATGCCATCCAACCATCTTGTTCTGTTGTCCTCTTCTCCTCCTGCCTTCAGTCTTTCCCAGCATCACGGTCTTTTCTAATGAGTCAGCTCTTTGCATCAGGTGGCCAAAGATTGGAGCTTCAGCCTCAGCATCAGTCCTTCCAGTGAATATTAAGGGTTGATTTCCTTTAGGATTGACTGGTTTGATCTCTTTACAACCCAAGGGACTCTCAAGAGCCTTCTCCAAGACCACAGTTCAAAAGCATCAGTTCTTCAGCGCTCAGCCTTCTTTATAAATAGTGTCAAAGTTGAGTTAAATTTGTAGGACACCCTTTCTGTGTCTACTCAGAATTGGAGGATTGCTTGGTGTGGGAAAAACTCAAGACACATTTGGTGACCAAAAGTGTCTTAAGTGGAGTATTGTGTGGAGTTTAAGGAAAAACACTCAGATTTATGGTTCATATTATACAGTTGTTCCTCAGTATCAGCAGGGGATTGGTTCCAGGATCTCCCTAGGTACAATCCTCGGATGCTCAAGTCCTTTATATAAAATGGCATAGAACAGCTCCCTCCATGTGCAAATAGGTATTTGAGTACAGAAAGCCAACATTGTCTCTACTGGACTGCACTGCTCTAGGGTATAATCTTGCCACAGATACCTCAACAGACAAATTGTTTGCCTCTGGACCAACGTTTTTCATACTTTTCATGGGGTTGAAATGAAAAGACACTTGCTCTTTGGAAGAAAAGCCATGACAAACCTAGACAGCATATTAAAAAGCAGAGACATCACTTTGCCGACAAAAGTCCATATAGTCAAAGCTGTGGTTTTTCTAGTAATCATATATGGATGTGAGAATTGGACCATTAAGAAGGCCAAGCAACAAAGAATTGATACTTTTGAACTGTGGTGCTGGAGAAGACTCTTGAGAGTCCCTTGGACAGCAAGGAGATCCAACCAGTCAATCCTAAAGGCAATCCACCCTGAATATTCACTGGAAGGACTGATGCTGAAGCTCCAATACTTTGGCCACCTGATGCGAACAGCCAATTCATTGGAAAAGACCCTGATGCTGGGAAAGATTGAGGGCAGGAGGAGAAGGGAGAGACAGAGGATGAGATGGTTGGATGGCATCATCAACTCAATGGATATGAATTTGAGCAAACTCCAGGAGATAGTGAAGGACAGGAAAGCCTGATGTGCTGCAGTCCATGGGGTTGCAAAGTCGGACATGACTTAGCAATTGAAGAACAACTGGACCAGCTTATCAGCTCCCAGTGAGGTCAGAGGGAGCTGTTCTGCCCTTTCTGTCGTAACTGAACTAGTAGCCTCCCCTCATGAGAGTCATCTTTGGACTTTGGACTGTGAGGCCACATCCAGACCCTGCCTCCAAACCTGTACTCCTGCCTCTTAGAGCAGCTGTCTGATTGCTTCCTCCTCCAAACTCCCTGGCTAAGGGAACTGTCCGTTCTCCAAGGGCATGAAATAAATTCCATTTGCCTTCTTTGAGGAGGCCTGAAGATTCTCCCTCCTAAGCATCTGTCCTGTCCATTCCTTCCTGTGAGCTCTGGCCGAGGTGCTGGTCACTTGCTTGAGCCACTGCAGAAGCCTTGGAATCCTTCCCCAGCCTTCTAGCATGAGCCTCCAACCAGCACCCCCACTTTCTCTCTGAAGCATTGCATCATGCTCTGAGGCCTCCAATGACCAGACTCCCCCAACTTTTCTGATGGTGTGATTGTGGGGGCGCAGGGCAGGGGTGGGGTACAATTGCAGGTACAATTGATGGACATTTCCACAGTGGACCTGAATTGCATTTGGCATTGGAAAAAGGTTAACACTTAAAAGCAACCCTACGACACACACTTGTATGGCACAGACCAGTTCAGAAAGGACACTCAAGAAACTGAATAGACATGTCACTTCTGGGGAGAACTAGAAAGCTGAGGGTCAGAGGTAGGAAAGAGATTAAGATTTGCACTGTTTGAATTCACAGTGCATGAACTGCATGCATGCTCAGTTGCTTCAGTCATGTCTGACTCTTTGCAACCCTATAAACTGTAGCCAGCCAGACTCCTCTGTCCATGGGATTCTCCAGGCAAGAACACTGGAGTGGGCTGCCATTCCCTTCTCCAGAGTGATCTTCCTGACCCAGGGATTGTACTCTGGTCTCTTAGGTCTCCTGCATTGACAGGTGGGTTCTTAACCACTAGCGCCACCTGGGAAGCCCCTTCAACATGGGTTATTTTAAAAACAAAAATTTATTTTTAGAAAGAAGGGATAAATTAAGGATTTGGGATTAACAGATAACACAACTATTGTTGTATACAAGGACTGACTGTAAAGCACAGAGAACTATATTCAATATCTTGTAATAATCTGTTGTTGTTCAGTCACTAAGTCATGTCTGACTCTTTTGTGATCCTACGCTTCTTTGTCCATGGGATTTCCCAGGCAGGAATACTGGAGTGGGTTGCCATTTCCTTCTCCAGAGGATCTTCCCAACCCAGGGATCAAACGTACGTCTCCTGCTTGGTAGGCAGATTCTTTACCACTGAGCAGCCAGGGAAGCCCAATAGCCTATAGTGGAAAAGTATATATAATGGAATCACTTTGCTGTATACCTGAAACATGTAAATGAATTATACTTCAACATTTTTAATTAAAAAAAAAAGACAACCATCTCCTCAGGACACATATGAAAAACCTCTGAATGACTCCAACTAAATAAAGTCCAACTCTCCTTAGCCACTGAAAATGGGTTTTGCAATCTGATTCCCCTCCACATCACCCATACCAGCCAACCTGCTTCTCAGTCCCACCTATGCCTTGACAGCTCCATCTCCTGACCTGGAGAATGTCTCTACCTATTGGAAACCTCCTCCCCCTCCAAGGCCCAGCTTAAATGGCATCTGCTAGCAGGCTTCTCAGCTTCCCCATGGCTCAGTCAGTAAGGAATCTGCCTGCAATGCAGGAAATCCAGGTTCGATCCCTGGATTGGGAAGATACCCTGGAGAAGAAAATGGCAACCCACTCCTGTATTCTTGCCTGGAGAATCCCATGGACAGAGGAGCCTGGCAGACTACAGTCCATAGGGTCTCAAGAGTCGGACACAATGACTAAAGCACCACCAGCAGGCTTCTCAGTCTCAGCACCACTGGTATTGGGGGCAAGTCTTTGTTGGCAGCAGGATGTCTTGTAGGATGTCTAGGACCATTCCTGGCCCTGACTCACTACTGCCAGCAGCATTCCAACTCCCTTCCCAGGTTGTGACTACCTCAAATCCCTTTAGACATTGCCAAATGGCCCTTGGGGGCAAAAATCACCTAGAAAAACTAAGCTCCCCACAGTTCTTACAGCCACTGTGACATTTATCACCCTGGGTTCACAGAGAACTGCATTTGGTTTTTTTTCTGTCCCCATCCATGACTACAGGGTACCTGGGAGGTGGGGGTGGGGAGCACGGACCAGATTTCTGCTGAAATCATATTCAAATCCCCATCCTTACCACTTACTTCTGTGACTTTAGGTCAATTACTTGGCCTCTCCAAGCCTACATTTCCTCATCTATAAAAAGGCAATGCTAGCCCCCACCCCAGAAGACTGCATGCTGAGTGCCTGACATGCATGATGGCCAGCCCACAGCAGGGATGTACAGAGGTTGGCACTTATTATTAATAAATGGGCTTCCCTGGTGGCTCAGGTGGTAAAGAATCTGCCTGCAATGCGGGAGACCCAGATTCAATCCCTGGGTCAGGAAGATCCCCTGGAGAAGGGAATGGCTACCCACTCCAGCATTCTTGCCTGGAGAATCCCATGGACAGAGGCTCCAATCTGTGGGGTCACAGTCAGACACAACCGAGCAACTAATACTTCATAACATTAATAAATGCCTTGACGTGTTAGGGATGCTACAAATGTGCCCAGGGTGTGGCAGGACCACCAGAAGTTCTCTGTTCCCTGATGTTCATGTGCATAGGAAGGGTGGTCAGCAAAGGCTTCGGACCCAAACACCTGGTTTAGATCTTGAGAGATGACACCATGCGCTCCAGGTAGCAGAACCTGGCTCACATGGAGGGTTTACGGAATATAGAAGTGAGACAGAGACCACATGTGACTCGGTGTGAGACACCAGTCACCCTATCTGCTGACACAGCCAGCCTTCCTCGCTATTAAAACCTCTCCCTGCAGACACCCGCCCTGACACGTGTACACCCGCCTACCCCAGCATCTCCCACTCAGTGGTTTGAATGACCTTTAATAGGAACACTGTTTCTGTCTGTCCCTCTCTCCGGAGGCATCCAGGACAGGATGAGGCAGTGCAGTGTGAGGACACACCATTCCCCACTCTGCCCCGCCCCCAGCAAAGGTCAAGTAGAGGATGGAGCTGCGAGATCCATGCACTTCCTGTCTCCCTGGAGATTTTCCGAGTCACGATCTCCAAGGGACAGCGTTCTGCTCCCATGACAGGAGCCAGGAAGGATGGGGCTGCTGCAGTCCCAAGGTCACGTGGGGACTTGAGTCTGACCCAGGTCTCAGTGTAAACCCTGAAGCAGAAGGCCTGGAGGCTGCAGCTCTGCTGGGGAGAAGCTCTGGGGTGTGACTTCTCACCCCTAGAGTCTCTTTGGGCAGCTGGGTCAGCCCCTGTTGTGCTCAAGCACTGCCCCCCGGAAGAAGCAGAGGAAGTGGGACTGGGTTTTTCAGGAAGATGGGTGAGAAAAGACCAGTTGCTACAAAGCAGTGAAAGTGAACAGTTTTTCCCGGGAAGACATCCAGAGCGCCAGCAAGGTCCCAGCCAAAGAGCTGTGCTCTGCCTCTGGCCTGCGGCTCCGTCTCTCCGAAGGTGGCTCAAAGGCAGTGAGAGGTCAAGAGCCTGGAAGCTGGATCCAGTTCCCTGGGCCCGAGGCACCGGAGGCTGCTGGGCAGTGGTTGTTGACCAAGAGGAAAAGGTCTGTGGTGGCCGGTCCTGGCCAGTTAGGGATCGACGAAGGAGACTGCGATGTAGCGGGTGCCTTTGGTGGTGGGGAGCCCCTCGTGGTAGTGCGTGAGTCGCCCGGGGTGCATCAGGGTCCAGCCCTTCCGTGGGGCTCGGATGGAGCAGTTGTAGCGCAGGAACCGACAGCCCCCGCCCTGCGAGACAGGAAGTGCCAGTTCCCCAACGGGATACCGGGCCCTCCCCCCACCCCTCCCCCCACCCCCATTCTCCCGTCTGAGCCATCGCAGCCAAGGGGCCCCTCAGTACAGCCTGCCTGGGGATGCCCTATGGAGCGACAGCCATGAGCAGCCTAAGGAAGACACTCAGCAAAGAACAAGGAATCAGAAGCACTGGCCTTGGATGCAGGCAGCACTGGGCAGTGACTCTGTGACCAACCTGAACCTCAGTTTGCCCTTCTGGAAAATGGGCATTAAACTGTACAGGGTTGTGAGAATTAAATGAGATGATACAAATAAGAGCTAGCTTAGGGCTGGGTTTCTCAACCTTAGCACTATGGACATTCTGGGTCAGATAATTATTTTTTAATTGTGGCAAATACACATAACATCAACTTTACCATCATAATCATTTTCAAGTATACAATGATAATAAGTACATTGACACTGCTGTACAGTTATCACCACATGGGCCAGATAATTCTTTCTTATGGGGGAGCTGTCCTGGGTACCCCTGGCCTCTACCCAAGAGATGCCAATAGTATCCTCATAGTTGTAACAACTGAAAATGTCTTTAGATATCACCAATGTGTGCTGAGAGGGCAACACTGTCCCCTATGAAAACCCCTGATACATTGTAAACTCTCAAAAAAATGATAGGTGTTTTATGGGTATCCTTCACAGTGCCTGCCCAGGGCTGAGTTCCCATAAGCTTTTATAAATAGTAGCTTGGGACTTCCCCTGCGGTCTAGTGGTTAAGACTTTGCTGTCCAACGCAGAGGGTGTGAGTTAGATTCCTGGTCAGGGAACTAAGATCCCACATACCTCATGGCCAAAAAAAACAAAAACATAATGCAGAAACAATATTCTAACAAATTCCACAAAGACTTTTAAAAGAAAATAGCAGCTTAAGGAGTAAATGGTGAATAGATGGCTGTCTTCCTAGCTGATCACACCTAGAGGACCTTCTTTGGGGCCCTGAGGCCCCCAACTACTCCCTCCGAACTCTCATGTTTTCCTGTTTTCCCCATCCTCCCCTCTGGTCACAAGCCTGTGCCCCACACCTGTTTTAATCTTGTTCTGCCATTCCCAAAGCTGTCCTCTTATTTCAAGAGTGATGAAAACCCTAAACTTTTTATTACTAATAGCTATTATTTTCCTTGATTACTTATTATGGATTCACATAAGCAATTACCTGGATGAGCTCATTTAATTCTCACAATTCTACAGCGGGGAGGTCCTCTAGGTTTTCCCATCTGAGATATGAGGGAAATGCTAAGAAACGTGCCTGGTTACACGTTACACAGAGCTGGTGAGAGGGAGACAGGACCCAAGCCCAGCCAGTCTGGCTCCCAGACATCCCAAACCCTTGCTCTGTTGTGTCTAAAGCCTTCTCCCCCCAACCAAATTGTGCTCTGAGCCCACCTCTTCCAAGAAGCCTTCTCCACTCACCAGGCACCCTCTCTCTAGGGTTCTCTGGCACAGGCATACCCTGACTGGCCACCCTGTGAGCTGCTTACTCCCCAGTCAGCCCTGACCCCAGCCCAAAGTGCCCCCTGCTCACCTCATAATCCACTCCAACCCGGTTCAGGGCAATGTTGATGGTGAAGGTGGAGGCGTCGTGGTGTGGCACCAGCGAGGGCTGCTCATCGGGCTTGTAGCGGACGACAAAGGCCAGGTCGAATTGGGCCTGCGCCAAGGAAGCGGGACAAGAGAACTGGAGTTAGAGAGAGGCCCCCAAATGCTGGGAAAGGCAGGAGTGCACAGAAGGGACCCCTCATCCAATCGCTGTAAAGTCGACCAAGACGGCAGATCTGCTTATGCTGTGTTCTCCAGTGTCTGGCATAGACAAGGTTCTCAATTAAAACGTGGGGTGGAAGGGAAGGAAGAGAAGGAAAAGTGAAGAAAGGGAGGATGTGGAGGGAGGGAGGGAAGAGCGGGAGAAGATGATGATGGGAGAGCAGGGGCGGGGAGGAAGAGAAGAGAGGAAATGAACATAACCCTCAGGACTCTTTCTGGCTGGTGATTCCTTGGGGCAAGGCCCTGGCACACTCAGAGCAGGTGTTTGGAGAAAACCAGGGTAAACAAGGAGGAGGTGACTGAGTGAAGGAGGGCAAAAGCCAAAAGAGGCAGCCAGACACACGAAGGAGGGAGCTAAAGGAATGGGCATGCTGGCCAGCTAACGGGGCTTGTTCGGTGGACTAGCATAGGAGCCTCTGGAGCAGGATTTAAGTACACAGAAAAGGATGCAAAGGAGTGAGTCAAGGCTGGAGGCAGAGTGGCCTCCCCTTATGAACTGGATGACTTCCGAGGCCCCGCCCCCTGGAACCCACCCCCCCGAGGCCCCGCCCACATGACCCGCCTCCCGAGGCCCCACCTTCCGGGGGCCTAGCCTCACCCCTGATGGGAGGAGACGCCACTCCTGGAGACCAAATATTCAGTAAACTCTCCCGCAAGCCTGGAACGCCTTCCTCCCCGGCAAGCCCCAACCACACCCACCCCACGCCCTCACTCGGCTGCACCCCAGGCGCGCCCACCCTGGTGTAGTAGCCCGGGTAGAGTTTCTCCGTCATGGGGGCGATGTACTCCACCAGGAACTTGTGCCACTCCCGCTCAAAGTTGATCTGGTTCATGTGGATGTCAATGGTTGGCACGTTTTCGTAGCCACCCTGGATGCGGTTGTCCTGGACGTGACCAAAGAGAATGGTAAGCAGAATTCTAAGATCCACCCCCCCACCCCACACACACACCATGAAATCCCAGCTCCCTGGTGTAGTGAGTGTTCAGTCGTTTCAGTCATGTCTGACTCTGTGCGACCCCACGGACTGTAGCCTGCCAGGCTCCTCTGTCCATAGGTGATTTTCCAGGCAAGAATACTGAAGTGGGTTGCCATGCCCTCCTCCAAGGGATCTTCCCGACCCAGGGATAGAACTCTTGACGTCTCCTGCGTCTTCAGCATGGCAGGTAGATTCTTTACCCCTGAGTCACCCAGGAAGCCCGACCCCTGGTGTACATGCTCTATCTAAATCCCCTCCCTTTGACCTGTGAACCTGATGGGATAAGGTTAGATTACGGGACAAAAGTGAAGGGGTTCAGCAGATGTAATGTAACTAGTCACTGCCTTTGGGTTCATCCAAAGAGAGATCATCTCCGGTGGGCCTTCAAGGAAGGTCTGGAAGACAGATTTTGTGTCCTGCTGGTCGGGATAAAGCAAACTGCCTGAAATGATACAGCTGCAAGGAAGTGAGTTCTGTCACATGAGCTTGGAAAAGGACCCCAAGCTTCAGATGGGATCCCAGTGCCTGCTGACACCAGGACTGCAGCCTTGTGAGACGCTGAGCGGGACTCCCAACCCACAGAGACTGGGAGATAATAAATGGGTATTGTTTTAAGCTGATAAGCTTTGTGGTGATTTGTTACACAGCACAGAAAACCAATGCAGAGGCCACAGGTTAGTTGGGGTACTAGAGCCCCATTGCTGACTGGGTCACTGGAGCACAAGGGTTCACCAGACCCCACATGTGGGCTATTTGAGTTACTGGGTTCTGCAAATGAGCTCTGCCACCAAGTATGTCAACTGGGCAGTAACCAGAACCATGCTTAGTCCAGCTGCCAGCCCAGAAGTTAGCTGGTCCCAGCAGCACATAGACCCAGGGGTTCATGTGCCTTTAAAAGTGGTTCCTGAACTTTCTAAGAGGCTTGCAGGTATGAATTCCTCCTTCAGGGAATGCATAGCCTGTCACATGCACCATGCCCCTTGCTTCTGCTGTCTGGTGATCTTGACATGGCTGTTGCTTCCAAATCCTTCTGCATCCCACATTATCTCATTCCTCCCCCATCTCCATGCCCATTCTGGGGAAGGAAGCGAAATCATTCTAAAGACAAACCAGGAACTGGAAACCTAGCAATTCAAGACGAAGGCAGCTCTAAGTCACCCAGCGGCAATGGCAACTTGAAGACCAACATTCCATCCCATTTCTCACTCCCTCTACTGCTAAGTGTCTGCAGGCACCCCTGCCAATGCCCCCATCTCCAGGAGTCCCAGAGAGGTTGGCTAGCTTGTCAAGAAAAGAGCCCTGAGGGCAGGCATGGGAAAGGGGCAGCATCCCGCCATCGCAGTCCAGGCATCTGGACCCCCACCTTGTTATCTCCCAGAGACCACTGGCCGTAGTGCTCCATCTCCTCCACCAGCTCATCACAGGCTGTCTCCGTGAAGATGGGGAACCAGTAGACGTCCGGGCAAGGCTGAGGAGGGCGGAGATTTGGTCACAGGGTCCAGAGAAGCATCACTTCGTCCTCCCACCGTTCCCATGACCCTCTGCAGACCGCGCTGCAGGCAAGGCCCCTCATGTGGCCTATGTCCAGTCCCACATCCCAGTCTGTGAGCCCTCCGTGTCCCCACAAGTGTCCCCAGGGAGCAGGAGCTCAGCAGGCTGCTGAAGGGAGGAGGAACCAGAGCTCAGAGCTGGCCCTTCTCAGCCAAGGTCACAGAGCTGCCAAAGCCAGGAAAGGAATATGCAAATCCAGGGAGCAGAGGCCCACAGGCTGCAGGAGAAGCAGAGAAGGAAGCATCTGCTTCTCACTCTAGGCCCACAGTCCACAGCTGAGACCACAGCTGGGGACATTTTCTTCTTTCCTGCTCTGGAGCCAGGGAAGAAGCCTCAGGCCCCTCCGCCCCTGAAGACTCCAGCTGCAAAGTGCCAGCAAGATGCAGGGGCACCCCACTGCGTGTTCCCTCGCCCCAAGCAGCACCAGAGCACAGAAAGGTGGCTCCTGCTCCTCCCCCAGGTCAGCTGGCCTTGTTGCTCTGCCGTCTGTCCCCTGCAGCCACTGCAGGGTGTAAATCCAGCAGTTCTGTTCACAGAGGGCGCTGGGGCCTTACCATCTCCACCATCTTCCCCGCCAAGGCCTTGGTGTAGTTCTCGTGGATGTATTTCTCCTTCCAGTCCTGTGGGGAGAAGGGGCGCTGGGGTCCTCGAGCCAAGCCTGGGCCAGCTGGGACTCACATGCATGGGCTGCTCCAAGAGGGAGTTCTGCCCCCCAGGCCTGGTGGGGTGTAGGGGCGGTGGGGGTGGGAGTGAGGGAGCTTGTATGCGCCTATGCCAAAAGAGGAGAGTGAAAAAGTTGGCTTAAAGCTCAACATTCAGAAAACTTAAGATCATGGCATCCAGTCCCATCACTTCATGGGAAATAGATGGGGAAACAGTGGAAACAGTGGCTGACTTTATTTTTTGGGCTCCAAAATCACTGCAGATGGTGACTGCTGCCATGAAATTAAAAGACACTTACTCCTTGGAAGGAAAGTTATGACCAACCTAGATAGCATATTAAAAAGCAGAGACATTACTTTGCCAACAAAGGTCTGTCTGGTCAAGGCTATGGTTTTTCCAGTGGGCATGTATGGATGTGAGAGCTGGACTGTGAAGAAAGCTGAGCGCTGAAAAATTGATGCTTTTGAACTGTGGTGTTGGAGGAGACTCTTGAGAGTCCCATGGACTGCAAGGAGATCCAACCAGTCCATCCTAAAGGAGATCAGTCCTGGGTGTTCATTGGAAAGACTGATGCTGAAGCTGAAACTCCAGTACTTTGGCCACCTGATGCTAAGAGTTGACTCATTGGAAAAGACCCTGATGCTGGGAAGGATTGGGGGCAGGAGGAGAAGGGGACGACAGAGGATGAGATGACTGGATGGCATCACCGACTCGATGGACATGAGTTTGAGTAAACTCTGGGAGTTGGTGATGGACAGGGAGGCCTGGCATGCTATGGTTCATGGGGTCGCAAAGAGTCAGACACAACTGAGCGACTGAACTGAACTGCCTACTGGGTCATGTGAGCTGTTTGGGCTCACAAGTGTGTCCACGGGAGTCCATGTTTGCATGGGTGTTTACATGTGTGTGCTGTGTGTATAGGTCCACCTGCAGATATGTGCTTGTGCCCACATCAGCCACAGGCTTGCCACATCTAGTAATGCTGTCAGAACTTCCTCCTCCTCTAATCAGCACAGCACCCTCAGAGGTGAGGCAGGCTGGGATAGCACACCCATTTTAGAGCTGAGATAACTGAGGCCCCACAGATTCTGGACAAAAGATAAAGGAAAGACTAAACAACCTCCACTGCCACTTCTCAAGAGCCGAGAGCAAAATCAGGGTACTGGGAGCAAAAGCAGGGTACTGAGCATGCCCCCTGCACTCAACACCAGAGGGCAAAACACCTAAGCTACCGCTCCGGCCGGACCCCTGGACACAACCCAACTCTCACCCTATATAAGGAACAAGCTGACCCCTCCTCAGGGAAAGTGAGCAAGGGAACCTGTTGTTAGTTCTCATTCCCTACTGCTGCAGAGGGGGCCCCAATAAAGCCTTGCCTGGAGAAAAAAAAGATAACCGAGGCCCCAAAGGTGGATAGGCTTAACTGAGTTAGAGCTGATGGACCACAAACCTCAGCCTCTAACTCCTGGTCCCTTCTCCACCAGATGGCGCTGCCTCTAGAGACACTCTCCTCTCCACACTGGAATCCTGCCTGACAAGCCCTCTGGGGTGGAGGGACCCAGGGGGACCCACGGGGTCACAGCCAAGGTCAGGTTCTGGGAGGGAGGTGCCTCAGGTCACAGGATCACTGAGGTCCCTTTTGTTCCCATGCCTGCCCACCTACCCAGGGCCTCACCTCGGGGTTGCTGAACACCTCCCAGAGGTCGTTGTGGAGGTGGGTGGTCTGGTAGCTGTCCAGGGAGAGCAGGTGGCCGAAGGAGTGCCGGTTGGTCAGGAACATGAACACATCCTGGGGAGAAGAGGCCGGATGGAAGAGAGCCTCCTTTCTGCACACCCCACCCCTGGGGTGGGCAAAACTGAAGCCTGCTCTACCCACCATATTTAAATTCACAACCCAGTGTGGGTCACTCCATTTTCCAAGTGCCCAAGGCCTGAGCCAGTCAAGGAAGACTTCCTGGAGGACTGAACAGGAGTGAAAGAATGAACATGCAAAAGAAAAGGACGGAGTTCTGATCCTGGAGTGAGTTGTGGGCACAAGGAAAACATCATCCCACTGTCACATTAAAAAAAAAAAAACCACAAAATAGTATCAGGTGGGGCACAGGGAAAAGGTAAGGGCATCTCTTGGGCACATTACTTGGAGTAAACGTGAAAAGTTCAGTTTTCTTTAGGCTCTGTCGAAATGTACATAAAAGAGATCGTGTGGGGCTTCCCTGGTGGCTCAGTGGTAAAGAATCCACCTGCCAATGCAGGAGATGTGGGTTCAATCCCTGGTCCGGGAAAATCCCACAGGCCATGGAGCAATGAAGCCTGTGCACCACACTATTGAGCCTGTGCTGTAGAGCCCGGGAGCCACAAGAAGAGAAGCCATTGCAATGAGAAGACCAGGCACTGCTACTAGAGAGTGGCCCCTATTCACTGCATCTAGAGGAAAGCCCGCACAGCAGTGAAAACCCAGCACAGTCATAAATAAATAAACAAAAGCTTTTAAAAAGAGAAAGACAGTGTGATAACTGGGTCTACTAAAATGACCCTACAGACCCCGAGGGGCAGCCCTCATGCCTGCTGCCCCAAGGCCCCCACCAGGGCCTGGCAGCCTGTAAGCAGTCCTGCTGGGATCTCAGAAGCCACAGGGCCCATGGGAACAAAGTAACTCATCTTCCCCATCAACAGGACCTCTTCTGACTGCCCAGCCCAGCTAACCTGCTGCCGGATATTGGCACAGAAGGCCATGTCAGGGTCCAGCTTGCTGTGGTGGAACAGGTCTGTCTCCTGCAGCTCAGCCCGCAGGGTGCTTCCCTTGATCAGGTAGATGTTTGAGATGTAGGGTACATTCCAGACACCCCTAAGGGAGAGAGGGAAAGATGGAGGAGGTCACAGGCAATGGTGTGGAGTCACAGGCTGGGGGTCAGGGATCAGATGAGGGGGAAGTCACAGGCTGGGAGGGCAGGATGGTGCCGATTTGATTCCCCTACTCTGGGCACGTGGCCCCAGGATAATTGTCAGGAAGCCCTTCTGTGTGTCTGACTGCAGTCTTCCTTGTTTCAGTTCAGTAGGAATTTGAGCAAAGGGACAGGAACACTGGAGGAGGCGAGGCCAGGAGGAAGACAGAGGAGGGTGTCCCCCCATCCTGCAGGTACTCACACACGCCGTCCCTGCACGATGTCCACGTAGTCCTCGGAGCGGGCGTAGTAGCCGTCTGCACTCAGTGCCCCCCAGAAGTTCGACCACAGCCTCCCGTGGCGGGTCATCAATGGGGTGATAACATTCCTGGGGAAGGGAGCATCTCAGAGGGAGTCCCTCTGCCCGAGGGGAGGTTGGGGCAGGTCCAGGTGTGGGGAAGGGGCGGGAGAGCGCCTTCAACCTGCAAGGATCTCCCTGGAGTCAGGCCTGGGGTGGGGTGTGGCCCATCTGGTGCCAGCTCCCCACCCCCTACCTTTACAGAGCAGCCAGGAAAGGCACAGAGGAGGAGGAGTGGGAGTAGGGGGTGGGATAGCTTGGAGCTTGGAGCCAGGAGGCGGAGAACATCCTAGACTAAGACAAGGTAGCCAGGACTTCCCTGGCAGTACAATGGATAAGAAATCCACCTGCCAATGCAGGAGACACAGGTTCGATCCCTGGTCCAGGAAGATCCCATATTCTGCAGAGCAACTAAGCCCGAGCACCACAACTACTGAGCCTGTGCTCTAGAGCCCATGAGTCACAACTACTGAGGCTGCGGGGTACAACTACCGAAGCCCATGCACCCAGAGCCTGTGCTCCGCAACAAGAGAAGCTACTGCAATGAGAAGCCTGTGCACTGCAGAGAGAGTAGCCCTCTCTCGCTGCAACTAGAGAAAGCCCACGTGCACCAGTGAAGACCCAGAATGGTCAAAAATAAATAAATAAATTGTGTGTGTGTGTGTGTGTGTGTGTGTGTGTATAAAAACAAGATAGCCAGGCTGGGAAAAGCCCAGGGTCACAGGTAAGGCCAATGTGGAGGAGGAGACAGGCAGGGGAGGGGCCCCCAAGCCCAGACTCGGGTCCAGGGCCATCGTGAGCCTAGTCTCTGAGGGCCTGCCTGCCAGCCAGCTGCGGCCAACCCACAGCCTCACTTGTTCTGCTCGATCAGCAGCCGCAGGGTTTTGGGCTCAGTCAGAGCCACGTCGGCATCCACGCTGAAGTAGTAGGTGCAGCCACGGTCCTGCCGGCACAGGTCCCTGTGGGGAGGGAACACAGGGTCATCGGGGTCAGGGTGTTGGTGCCAGCCTCCCCACCCAGGATCCCTGCACTTGCAGTCCCCACCACTGCCCACATCTTTCATCACCAGGTACCAGCCAAGGGTCTTTAGGGAGTTCAGGTCAGCCCTGCTGCAGGCTGGCAGCCACCTCGAGGTCCCTCCGGACTCTGACCCAACCCCTGGACTACAAAGCTGTCAAGACAAAGCCCAGAGCCTGGCATCTGGCACCCAGTGCCCTGAAAACCTGGGCACTGGGGAAAGCAGGCCCACAGACAGGTCCCTACACTGCTCAGTGCTATGGGTAAACTGGCTCTGCCTTTCCAGAGGACAGTTTGGCAACCTATACCAAAAGCTTAAAAAAATCTCACACTAAGTAAAATCAGTCAGAGAAAGACAAATATCATATGATATCACTTGTATGTGGAATCTAAAAAAATAATACAAACCAGCATATTTACAAGACAGAAATAGACATAGAAAATAAACATACAGTTACTAAAGTGGAAAAGGGGGAAAGGGAGAGATAAATTAGCAGTATGGGATTAACAGATATACACCAATATACAAAAAATAAACAAGGATTTACTGTCCAGAACAGTAAATAGCACCATAGCACCGAGCAGGGTAGGAACCTGCCGGTGAGCCTGCTCTCCCCACTGCCACGGTTTTCAGGGCACTGGGTGCCAGATGCCAGCAAGATAATGATATTCAATACCTTGTAATAACCTTTAATGGAAAAGAATCCTGAAACTAGCACAATATTGTAAATCAATAATAGTTAAAATTTTCTTAAAAATCTATGTTATTTTTGTTTACTGGTGCCAAGCTCAGCAAACTATGGAGCAAGCACAGTGCAAATCTAGCCCACTGCCTGGAGTTTTGACCATTTTCTCTTTTTTTGACTGTGCTATGCGCCATGCAGGATCTTAGTTCCCTGACCAGGGATCAAACTCATGCCCCTCTGCAGTGGAAGCATGGAGTCTTCACCACTGGACCACTAAGAGAATCCCCAAGAACTTTTTAAAAATTTACTTTATTGACATATAGTTTATTTACAATGCTAATTTCTGCTATACAGCCAAGTGATTCAGTTGTATATATACATATACACATTTTTTTTCATATTCTTTTCCATCATGCTTCATCACAGGATATTGAATATAGTTCCCTGTACTACACAGTAGGACCTTGTTTTTCCATTCTCTACATAACAGTTTGCATCTGCTAATCCCAAACTCCCAGTCCATCCTCTTCCACCCCATGGCAATCACAAATCTGTAAGAACAGTTTCACATTTCTAAATGACTGGGGAAAACAAAAATCAAAAGAAGTCATGTGAAAATCATATGAACTTCAAATTTCAGTGTTGATAAAGAAAATGTTATTGGAGCACAGCCATGCTCATTCATGCTCTGATAGCCGGGCTGAGAGGTCACAGCAGAGCCCTCAAAGCCAATTTAGATAGATTTACTAGCTGGTCCTTTATAAGGCGTTTGCCAATCTCAGATCTACACTTTCTAACTATTTTATAGTCAACACAAATTAAACTTGTTTATTTCCATGATAAAGGAAAAAAATCAGAGACTGTTTCTCTGTCAGCATTTATCTCCTCTGGCCCTCCAGTCCTTCCTCTGTTTCTCTTTTGCTTCCCGAACCCAAATGACAGTGCTAAGCCCTCCCCAGGAGCACTGAGGTTGGCTCAACGATCTCCCCATTTGGCAGATGAGAACACCGAGGTCAAGGGAGGGGCAGGACTTGCTGGAGACCACATAGCCTTCTGAACCCGTCTCCCTGCCTGGGGCTCCTGACATCACGGCCCCTCTGCCATGATCCTCAACTCACGCGCCCATGTTCCTGGCATCTGCGTTGGCCACCCGCACCTCGGGGCCCACCAGTTTCACAGACTGGTACTCGTCGCCGTGCTCTGCCAGGAACTGCTCCACCTGAGCCTTGTGGTGCTGCTCCTGGGGGCAAAGGGATGGAGGCTGAGGATGAGGCTCCACCCCCTGGGCCCACAATGCCTTCTGCTTCCCCAGGCTGCTCCCTATCATTGCTGGCACACCCCCAGCCACTTGCTGCAACTTGCTCCTGGAACTCTGCCATCACCAGACCTTCTGCCTGGAGTGCCCTTCCTGGACAGCCTCTGACAGTGCGTGCATGCTAAGTCACTTCAGTCGTATCCGACTCTTTGTGACCCCTGGACTGTAGCCCTCCAAGCTCCTCTACCCATGGGATTCTCCAAGCAAGAATACTGGAGTGGGATGCCATTTCCTCCTCCAGGGGATACTCTTGAACCAAATATCGAACCCACATTTCTTGTCTCCTGCCTAGGCAGGCGGGTTCTTTACCACTAGTGCCACCTGGGAAGCCAGCCTCTGACCATCCTCCCCTGACGAGACCAGGTCTACAGGCCTCTTAAAAGCCTCTGTTACCAGGACAGCGACCCTCACCTCACAGGCCTGACATCCAGTCACTGATGACCAGTTCTGCTGGTCATCTGATGACATCCAGTCCTGGCCCAGGGTTCTGCTTTGCTATAAAACACTCCAGGTGATGCTCAAATGGCACTTGGAAAAAGTTTATACCTGGAGCCCCTTGCATGCGGAAAAAGGAAGAGCAGGGTGTTTAAAAACAAACCCAGGGTTCAGAGAGAAGCCTGGATCTGCTCCAGTGAGCTGCAGGACCTTGGACAAGTCACTTCACCTGTCTCAGCTCCAGTCTCCTCCTTTGTAAAATGGGAGGGCAATCATGTCTTCCCACAGGGTCACTGCGAGGAGCTGACAAGTCAGACAAGAGCACACAGGAGGTCCTTGAAGACCGTCTGGGACAGCTCTCTCTTTTTCTACACAAAGTCACAATTCACGCGTGTGAGGTTTGATGACTCCAGGGAAGCTGGGAGCTTCCCAAGGGCAGGGTCTACATCCTCCTTCTGTTTCCAGGCAGCACAGTTCAATGTCTGTGAGACAGACAAGCCAAGCTGAGTGGGGCCCACAGGTCCCTGGAGTTGGGGTGCAGACAGTCAGGGCCAAGAGGTCTCAGAAGAGGGTGACCCTAGATGGGGCAGCTGAGAAGACTCTATGGAAGACAAAAAGCCTTGACAGCAGGCAGGACTTAGGAGCATGTCTGGCTGCTCTCAGCAAAAGCTGAGATGTGGGACTTTATCCTGCCAGGATGGAGAGGCTGGCAAGGCAGGAGCTCAGAATACTTATTCCAGGCCTGGATTCACAAAGCAGCAGGCCTTTGGATCCCCCCCCTGACTACTCAGAATGTATTATACTCAAGGAATAAAAATACATTTAACTATCACCAGATCAAATCAGAGAAGACTGGGACTCCCCTGGTGGTCCAGTGGTTAAGACTCAGCACTTCCACTGCATGGGACACAGGTTTGAACCCTGGTTGGGGAACTAAGATCCCATGTGCCCTGCAGCTTGGCCAAAAAAAAGGCGGGGCGGGGGGGTGCGGAATGAAAGACTGACTGGAGCAGGGAGGGAAATAATGATAATGATGTCAGCTAAGAGCACCTACTATGTGCTTCCTATTCATCAGGTGCTTGTCTTCATGCTTCAGAGGTCAACTTGTTTAACCCTTGCAGTAAACCCATATGGCTAGCACTAATAGTATCCCTATCGAATAGACCTAACAGATGAGAAAACTGAAGCCTAGAGAGGTTGAATAAGATACCCAAGGTCACACAGCTAATATAAGCAGCGTTACTGGGGTTCAAACCCAGCCAGTCTGACTCCAGAGTCAACCCAGTGATTGGGGATATAGCCTACTGCCCACTTCCATCTGGCCCAGATAACCCTGGTTCAGTCACTTCCTCAGAGGTCTCAGGGTGCCTTGCAAAGGTGGACCCTTAACCCAAATCACATGGTGACCCTACCGAGTGCCTGCTACTTACATGGTTGTGAATGAAAAGCCTCAACCGTTTTCGGGGGTAGTGGAGGCGCAGGAGCCGCTGGAAGAACAGGGACAGGAATGGAGTGGGCTGCTCGATGAACACACCGACCAGGACGGTGGGCAGGGCTTCATCCTGCAGGGAGAGAGGGCGGCACAAGGGTCCAGCCATGTCCAGCCACTGAGCGGCTGCTGAGCCCTGAGGTTGGCCAGAGGGACTAGAAGTCAGAGGCTCTGCAGGACTCAGCAGGAAAGGGGCCTGGGCAGGAGCTCCGAGCTGGGTGTGCAGGTGGCAGGGGAGGGGGCCAGCAGGGACGCAGCAGGAGGCTGTCCCTGCAGGGGCCAGGTGCAGTATGAGTCCAGACTCTAGCCAGGACGGGTTGACCGCATGTTGTCAAGAGAGGTTGGCTGGCATGGGGTCTGAGATGGGCCATGAATGAGGAGTAAGGTTCATGGGATGGGGAGAGGGCTACAAGGCCACCTGAAGGACCAGGTAGAAGAAACCAGAACTTAGGCTTCCTAGGAAGCTAGAGCCATGTGCAATCTGTGAAGGCTTCCAGGAGGAGGTGCCTGGGTGAGGACGAGGAGGAAGGTGACCACTTTACTGCCCACCAAAGATGACAGAGTCTGTTCCAGAACCCGCCCTCCCCGCCCGTCTCCCACCCCAAGGACAGAGCCCTGGGGCCCAGCAGCCTCACCCCAATGCCCTTGAGGCTGCGCAGGCCCTCATCACACACGGCGCACCCCGTCTCGAAGGTCCAGAAGCGCGGGATGTAATTGCCCAAGTAGTTCAGCTGCAGCTGTCGGGAGATGAGGGATATGAGCTAAACCAGGCCAGTCCCACTCCTGCCCCGGCCACCACCAAGCGGGGGGGCCTGCACCCCAGCCCTCCACCACCCCAAAGGGGGCAGAAATATGGCTTTGTTGGGGGTGGGTCTTGGAGAGCATGTCCGCCCTGGGAGATGACCAAAGCTGCTCTGAGGGGGGCAGAGGGAGGACACAGACTCTGGTGCTGCTTCATCTGTGGACTGCCTGTGTGTGCTAAGTCATTTCAGTTGTATCCAACTCTGCGACCCCATGGACTGTAATCTGCCAGGCTCCTCTGTCCATGGGACTCTCCAGGCAAGAATACTGGAGTGACTTGCCATGCCCTCCTCCAGGGGATCTTCCCAACCCAGGGACTGAACCTGCCATGTCTCTGAAGTCTTCTGCATTGGCAGATGGGTTCTTTACCACAAGTGGCACCTGGAAAGCCCTGTGGACCTCCTGGGAATGTGTAAAATGCAGATTCCTGGGCCCCACCTCTGCAGACATTTCAAAACCACAGCTCTTAGGTGGGTGGCGCTAGTGGTAAAGAACCCACCTGCCAATGCAGGAGACACAAGAGACGCGGGTTCAATCCCTGGGTTGGGAAGATCCCCTGCAGGAGGGCATGGCAACCCACTCTAGTATTCTTCCCTGGAAAATCCCATGGACAGAGGAGCCTGGCAGGCTACAGTCTATGGGGCCACAGTGAGTGGGACACAACTGAGTGACTGAGCACACATGCACTTGGGTGGCATCAGGAAATCTGCATTTAAACACACTCCCCTTCCCCTCCCGTCCACGTGATTCTGAAGGAGTGGTTGAGGACCACACTCCTAGAAACCAGTTGTGGTCCAGGGGCCTGTCCCTCAAGGGCCAGGGAAGGCTGGCCTGCACCCCTCCCCCTCCTGCAGCTCTGAGAGAACAGGGAACACTCTGTTCTGTTCGGGGCTGGCGAGGCCTCAGGCCCTGGTGCAAACATGCAATGTTTGCTGAATGTAGGAACAAGTCTGCCTTGGGGTGGCAGAGTACAGATGACTCAAGGCAGCCCCGCCTGGGCCTGGACGGGGACAGTGCCTCCTCTGTGGTCCAGCACAGATGGACAGGGCATCACTGACCATCCCGATTCGGAGAGGAGGCACCACCCTGAACTCAGATGTGAGGTCAGAGGCAGCGAGCGGGTCCCAGGTAGGTGGCCCCAAACCCAAGGGGAAGCTTTGGGGTCACAGTGAGAGCACAACCCAGATTCTGGACCTCTCCACCCAGACTCTCTCCTGGGGCTGGGGCCCCTCCCTACCTTGGTGGGCCCGTTGCCATGAATCAGGACCGGGAGGGTGTCGTAGGCCAGGTTCCTCGCTCTCACTTGGCCCATTTCAAACTTGAGCACAACCTCATCTGTGGGTCAGAAAACAGAGACCTGTCCAGCACCAGGCCCAGAGGCCAAGTTCTGGGCTCTGACCCAGACAGTCTGCACATAAGACAGCAGGTAGGACTGCTCTGTCTGACAGTTATAAAATGCAGACGGGCCTTTTCCCAGAGGCCTGAGAAGATGCTTGGCAGGGAGGCCTTTTGTGGTGAGTGATCATGTGAGGGGAGCCCCTCTGTGCAAGCCCCTGACCCACTCAAGAAGTGGTCTGGACCCAGCTTTTTAACCGAGGCTCATGAACTCCCAGAACCCACAGACCAAAGGGTGTGATGTCTCTGCACCTCACTGGGATGGGACCCAGAGCTCTCCTCAGTCTCTCAAAGGGGTCCATTTACCCCATTAAATCACCAATCAATGATCTGCTACAACTTCTCTTTTCTAAGGATGGGAAAATAGACGCCCGAGGGTATGTGTATGTGTCTTGCCTGAGGTCACCCAGCAAAATAGTGGCAAAGCAGCATCATCACCAGCCACTGACTTGGGACCAGGCCAACAGCATTTGTGGTTTCAAGGGACAAGTGATCTCTCTGCTTCCCATGTCATCCATCAACTCCCTGCCCCCAGCTCAGGAAGTCTCCACCGGGGAGGTGGGAGAGCAGGGGAAGGAGGTGAAGTAGGCTCACCTCAAAGGACCAGGGATGCAGGGCAGGGATGGGGTACCCACTGAGTGCATCACCCAGCTCCTCCCAGTCTGAGCCCTGGTGTCCAGCAGGCTCTCTGGACTGACCTCCTGGCCCTCCTTTCTTCACCCCAAAGAGACACAGCTCTTCCCCCAGAGAACATCCAGGTGGTCTCTGGAACCTGGGGATGAGGTAGGCAAAATCCCAGCACAACAGCTGAGAGGAACCTCCTTGGCTGGAATCCTCATCTCCTTACCACTCCTCTCAGGATCCCCCTCCCTGTCGGGGCTACTCACCCAAGGCTCCATCCAGATTCTGGAAGATTCGGCAACGGTGGTCCAGGGTGATATTGATCTGTTCCTGTAGAAAAGAGGGCATTGGACTGCACCAGGAACAAGCCCTGGCGGTGGACAGGGCTCCATCACCCAGTGTGGGGAGCCAGCCCTCCCCTTCTGCTACTTCCTCTCCCTCCACCCACTTTGCCCTGTCACATCAGGGCAGCTGGGAGCCCTGGGAAGGCCAGTCAGTGGCCAAGCCCCTGGGATTTACTGCTCTAGCACCTTTATTCACAGAGAACCAGGGACTCTCTGAACTGGAAGGAATCTAAGGGGACAGCTGGTTCAACAACAGCCATTGTGATAACAGATGCTTGTTTAGCACTTGACTGTGTACGAATCAGTACTCTAAGTATTACATGCACACTCATTTAATCCACAGAACAGCCTTGTGAGAAAGTATCATCATTGCATTTCACAGATTTAAAAACAAGGCACAGAGAGGTTGGATAACTTGCTCAAGGTCGCACAGCTCGTACCTGGCTAAGCTGGCATTGGAAATGGGCAGCCTGGCCCTGAGGTCCATGTTCACCGCATAAAGCTACCTCTTGCAGATGCGACTATGTCTCAAGGAACCTAGGTCAAGCCAAGTGACAGTCTAGGCTCAGCCTTCATCCCACAGAGAGCAGCACTACCGTTTTAGACCATAGGCTTCTACTGGCAATGTCACGGGAGGCAGAGGGGAAGGAGGAAGGACTGAGCCAACAAAGATCAAGTTCATAGTTTCCACTGCACAAGTCCAACTGCTTCACTTCATTATTTCATGGACAATAAAAATCGAGGCCCAGAGAGGGAAAGTGACTTACCCTTTGTCACGCAACACAGCATAAATAGGGGTTGAGGGGGTGTGTAGGGCAGAATCCAGGAATACTGACCCTCACCCCAAGGGTTCCCTAAGTTTCCTGCCTGCCCAAAGGACACTGGCTGGCTTTGGGGCTACACTTGCTCAGTTCTACCACCTCCACTCCCCTCAAGGATCCCTGCCTTGACACAGGCTCAGAAGCCTGGCTTGTGGGGCCCAGGTCCAGTCAAGATTTCATCAGTCCCTCAGAACTCCCCCAAGTGGGGTGGGACAGAGGCAGCTCAGGCTGTCAGTTCCTTTCATGACCATCCTCACCACCTGACACGAGGCTGTAAATTCCTCCTCTCCCTGGTTTGAGGGTTCAGGAGGGCAGAAACCCCAACTATCTTGTTCATTACCTATACCTGACAGTGTCTCACACACAACTCAGTAAATATCTGCTGGGGCTTCCCTGGTAGCTCAGGGGTTAAGAATCTGCCTACCAACACAGGAGACACAGGTTTGATCCCTGATCCAGGAAGATCCCACATGCTGTGGAGTAAGTAAGCCAGTGCACCACGATGATTGAGCCTGTGCTCTAGAGCCCGGGAGCTGCAACTACTGAAGCCTGAGTGCCCTAGAGCCCAAGCTCTGCAACAAGAGAAGCCACTGCAATGAGAAGCCCGAACACCGTAACTAGAGAGTAGCCCCCATTCTCTGCAACTAGAGAAAAGCCAGTGCAGCAACACAGGCCCAGGATAGCCAAAAATAAAAAAGTAAATACTATAAATAGATATTTTTAAAAATACCTGCTGAATAAATGAGTGAATCGAAGAACAGATAAGTGGGGTGTCAATGCCCAACCCAGGGGGTCAGGTCTGGGTGGCGGGGGCTGCTCCCAGTGCAAGCCCAATCTGCGGGATCCAGCGTCAAGATCCCACAGCCCTACCCGTTGCCACTTACCCTCTTCTCTGGGTCCAAGAAGATCTTGGTGTAAAAGAGCTGGTCGCTGTCGCTGTCCTGGCCTTCCCACTCTGCCACCAGTTTGCTGAGGTTGGGGGCATAACCGATGAAGCCTGGGGGTGGGGGACATATAGAGACAGACACTCAGCTTCTGACCTCTGAGTCAAGGGCCTCCTCCCAGCCTTCCCTCTTATCCACCTTTCACTTCTTTATTCATAAGCCCTGCCTCCTCTCAGAAGCCCTCCTGGATTGAGGGGAGGTGCTGTCTATAGGCTGGAAACAGTCTATCTGTTAATGCCACTTGGTGACAAGTTCCCACTGAGCCCAGAGAGAAAAACCACTGTTGTCCATTAAGCTGCACCAGCTCAGGTCCTGGGCAGCACACAGGTGGGGAATGACTGAGTTAGACTGAAGTCCAGGGCTGGTGGGGCATAGTTTTGGAGCCCCTTTTCTACAGTTATCCAGGAAACTTGACCCAGAGAAGGGCAGAGGCTGAGCCAAAGTCACACAGTGCAGGAGGCGTTAGAGGGAAAAGCCCACATCGCTCCGTAGCTACTGTGCAGACTGGTGGGAGGGGAAGAGAAAAAGGTGGGCAGCCAGGAAAGGGCCCCGCCCCTGAGGACACCTCTACCCCTGGGCCAGGGCCAGGCCATCTGGGCTGCGCTAACTATCTCGGCCAATAGGGAAACAGGGTTGCTGGGGCGGACACCCCTTCGTGGTGGGACAGAGGAATCCAGAATAAAATATGGGTTTTATTCTCCATGCAACAGGAAGTCACTGAGTGATGTGTGTGGACTCGCATCTGTGCTGGGTGGAGAATGGACTGAAAGGGGCGAGGCTGGAGGCTGGCAGAGCAGTCAGGAGACTACTGCCCACACCAGCGGCCCTGAGAGGCGGTGGCCAGGGTTGTGGACGTGAGCGGGCAGACTCCAGAGGTCTCTCGGAGTGGGAGTGGTGTGACCTGCTGAAGGACTAAGGAGGGGGAGGGGAGGGAGGAATCAGGGGTGACTCCCTGTTTTGTCCTGTGCAGATCGGGGGGCTATTGAATGAGATAAAGAAGACTGCAGGGGAGCTGATTTAAAGGTTAAAAACTCAGGAGTTCTTCCAAGGACACTCCGCATTCAGTAGCTTGTGATAGCCATGTGGGATGTTGAGCCAGGGGGTCCTCCCCAAGGCAGCGGATGGACCTCTCTGGAACCTGCTCCATCCGCCACATGCTGCGTACCCGGGCTCCTCACCTCCAGAGCCCAGGAACCTCTTCCCGTCGGACACCATCGGGTACTTGGCCTCCAGCCTGCGGTCCGGGTAGATGAGCTCCTCGGCGGAGAAGACCACCTGGCTCCTGGCCTGCCGGAACTTCTTCAGGAGCTCTCGGGGCCCCGAGGCAAACACCACGTCGTAGCTGTGGCCAGAGCCGGGAGAAGATGGAGCAGGGCGGGGAGGAGACGGGGTTGGTGGGGGAGCAGGGGCTCAGGAGGGCACAGGCAGGAGGAGCCCAGGCTTCCCTGATGGCTCAGACGGTGAAGAACCTGCCTGCAGTGCAGGAGACCCAGGTTCGATCCCTGGGTCAGGAAGATCCCCTGGAGAAGGGAATGACTACCCACTCCAGTATCCTTGCCTGGAGAATCCTGGACAGAGAAGCCTGGAGGGCTACAGGCCTCAGGGTCGCAGAGTCGGACACGACTGAGCAACTAACACTATCCTCCTCCCATGCTCGCCCTGGGCCACATCTGGCAAATAGATCAGCTCTGTTACCTTTGACCCTGCCCACCAAGTTTCCACCTCCTCCCTGGGAAGAGACATGGTCCTCATAATATATGCCCATTTCACACTCAAAGGATAGCTCAGCAGGCTTCCCTGGTGGCTCAGTGGTAAGGAATCCACCTGCCAATGTAGGAGACACAGGTTTGACCCCTGGTCTGGGAAGATCCCACATGCCACAGAGCAACTAAGTCCACATGCCACAACTATTGAGCCTGTGCTCTAGAGCCCAGGAGCTGAAACTACTGAGCCCAAAGAGAAAACTGAGCCCCATACACCACAACTACTGAAGCCCAGGAGCCCTAGAGCCTGTGCTCAGCAACAAGAGAAGCCACCATAATGAGAAGCCTTGTGCAATGCAACTAGGGACTAGCCCCTGCTCACCACAACTAGAGAAAAGCCTGCAAACAGCAATGAAGACCCAGTGCAACTAAAAACAAATATATAAAATTATATATATTATATATACATTAAAAGAAGCATAGCTCATCATACCTGGGCAGGTCCCCCCATCCATCTTTTCCCCAAGAGTGGAAATGGGTCTTTTCTGCATAGACCCCTTAGAACTGCAGACAATCCTAACTAGAGTAATCCACACCTCATCCCTGATGTCCTGGCAGGGCCTCATTCTAGAATATTCTACCTCTCAGCTTCCTACCTGTCTGTGAAGAGAATGACCAGGTTCTCCTTGTCGGCGTGCTTCTCCAGGGCTTTCTTCAGCAGCCGGACCTTCAGCCCTCCGCCTGCTGACATCGCCTCCCCAGGCCAGTCCTCCCCCAGCCCCAGCGCCTGCAGAGACAGGCCCCTTAACATGGGCTTTTGCTAAAGAGAAACCTGGCCAGCTCAATTTCCAGCCCCACCTGGGCATCTGACAGACAGAGCATCTTGACTTCTATCTGTCCAGCACTTCCCCTTGGCTGTCTCTGCCCCCACCCAGGAAGCCCCTTACCTGGATCTTGTAGTTGAAGAACTGAGCTGAGCGCTTAAAGCGTCGGAACCCCTCGGTCTCCTTCGTGGCCACGGTGAGGACCAAAAGGTTGTCTAGGAACACAGAAGGGAACGGAGGATGAAGAGAGGTGGCATCAGGAGTGGGTAACTGTGCCCAAAGGGATGTGTCAAATCCCACGGGATGTATCTTCATGTCAATCCATCACAGACAAGGGCCCAAGGCCCAGGGCCCAGGGAGGAAGGGGCATGCCTAAGATCACTCAGCAGGTTAATGTCAGAGCTGCGACGTGACCCAGGTCTCCGTCCATCTGGCAACCGACCAACATGGCCGGAAGTGCCCAGAACAGAAGCATCTGCACCTTGCATTATGGGACTGGGTCTCTCTGGATTTAAGGGCAGAGGAAAGGATTCGCTCTGAATGTTGAAGACCAGGAGGACCTCTCTGGCCAATGTCAGACATCATCCTGCGAATAACCTCCACTCTCCATGCCTGCACTTAGGGCAGACGTTGCTAATTGATCTCAACACATTTTTGTGCTGAGCCTCACTTGGCCTTGAATTCTCCCAACACTGTGAGAACCAAGAAGAGCTGGCCTGCAGTAGAAATTCACTTGAAATCCTGGCCTTTGGCCAGAGCGCGGCTATGCTACCTTTCTCAAAAAAAAAAAAAAATTAAAAAAATTTTGTATTGGAGTCTAACCAATTATCCTGGAATAGGAAATGGCACCCCATTCCAGTACTCTTGCCTGGAAAATTCCATGGGCAGAGGAGCCTGGTGAGCTACAGACCATGGGGCCGCAGAGAGTCAGGCGTGACTGAGCACATAATTGATTAACAATGTTGGGATAGTTTCAGGTGGACAGCAAAGGGACTCAGCCATACATATTCACACATCCATTCTCCCCCAGACTCCTCTCCCATCCAGGCGGCCACAGAACACTGAACAGAGTTCCCTGTGCTATACAGTAGGTCCTTGTTGGTTATCCATTTTAAATAGAGCAGTGGGTATATGTCCATCCCAAATTCCCTATCCATTCCTCCCATCCTTACCCCCAGCAACTACAAGTTCATTCTCTAAGTCTGTGAGTTTCTTTCTGAAATAAGTCAGACAGAGAAGGAAAAATATTCTATGGCATTTCTTATATGTGGAATCTAAAAAGAAGTGATATAAATGAACTTACTTATGCTACCTTTTTTACAAGGAACCACTCTGGGCTCTGCAGGGTGGCTTTATCTCTACAACAGAACCTGCTGGAAACTCTCCCACATGCCACCTCTGGGAGCCCTGGACAAACTGCTCCCAGACCATACTTTGAGACTGCATTCTCTGGGAAGTAAAGGCTCTGGGAGTTCCCTGGTGTACTAGTGGTTATGAGTCTGGGCTTTCACTGCTGAGGCCCAGGTTGAATCTCTGGTTGGGGAAAAAAAAACAAACAAAAGCTTTGTAGCTGGCTTGGATAGGCTCTTGGCTCTGCTCCTTACCAACTGTGTGACCTTGGGCAAGTCCTTGGCCTTCTGAGCTGCAGTTTCCCCCTTGTAAAACAGGGGTAATAACAGTACCTGCTTCCTAGGGCTGCTAGACTAATGAAATGAGATCAGGTTCTGGTGGTTCAGACAGTAAAGAATCCATCTGCAATACAGGAGACCTGGGTTTAATCCCTGGGTTGCAAAGATTCCCTGGAGAAGGGAATGGCTACCCACTCCAGTATTCTAGATTGGAGAATTCTTCATGGGCGGAGTAACCTGGCGGGCCACAATCCATGGGGACCCAAAGAGTCAGACACGACTGAGCAACCAACACTTTCACTTTTTTCACTTTCTGTGCTCAGTCACGAACACTTTTTTTCACTTTCACACGCTTAGTTATGTCTGACTCTTTGCGACCCCATGGACTGTAGCCCGCCAGGCCCCTCTGTCCACAGGGATTCTCCAGGCAAGAACACTAGAATGGGTTACCATGCCCTCCTCCAGGGAATCTTCCCAACCCAGGGATCGAACCCAGGGTTCCCACACTGCAGGCGGATTCTTTACCATCTGAGCCACCGGGGAAGCCCATTTCACTTCCAGGCCCGGAAAATCCTTGTTGGAATGCTGGCACACACTAAGAGCTATTCGTGGTGCTGATCACCGAGAGGGAAACGCCCTGCTCTGGCATTCAGGGCCCCTGCCCACTGGCCTTTGACATCCTCGTTCCCTCCACCAAGCAGGCCCTGCTCCTCATCTTGCTGGGCACCTCCCTCCTGCCAGGGTTTTCTCTCTCTGCCCTCTCTCTAACCTTCCTCCCAGTCTCACTTCTTCCCTACCTCCACCTCTATGAAGCCTTCTTGGATTTCTCTTGACCCCGCTCCTGCCCTCAGAGGTAGGACTCCATCATTTGCAGCACTCATCATTGATTCACTGGGTGAGTTTTGTTTCCCTGGGGTCCAGGACTTAGAACTTTTATGGATGAACAGACCTTCCAAGTGGCCAGGCCAGCACAGTTAAGTCAGGCCCTCCCACCCTAACCTCCCCAAGAAGTCAGGAGGAGCCTGGGCTAAAAGAACAAAGGGGTCCAGCCTGGCAGAGTCGGCTGAGCCTAGAGGCAGGCTGCCGGTCCCAGAGCAGGGGGATGGCGCCAGGCAGCCGGGCCAGGATTGGCAAGAATCCACTGGGGGTGGGTCCGGAGACCTGGGGCAGAAAAGGGTGGATTCACTAGGCAGGTGTGGAGAGAGGAGGCCTCACCATCTGACCCTGGGGTCCAGGGAAGAGGGGCGTGGCTCACACTCGGGGGAAGGACTCCTTCCAACTCCTGCCTGGCTGGTTAATTCTGCCCCCAGGAAAGGAGAGCCAAAGCCTTAGCTCTGAGGCCCTCTGGTCGACAGCAGGGGCTGCTGGGGACAGGAAGAGTGTCACATTTCATGGATGGAAAAAAGCCAGTGTGTGCATCTATGTGAGATTCTGGATTCTCTACTGGCAAGGGCTCCTGAAGCCAGGCGGCAGGGGGCAGGGCGGGGGGAAGACTCAGACACTGTAACCTGCCCAAGGCAGCACGATGATGTGGACGCAGACATCTGGCTCTAAAGGCCCCTCTCTTAACCCTGCATGCCCTGCTCAGGCCTGGATTGTGGTCAGGCATCCGCCTCCATCTAAAGAGACGGGCCAGCCAGGCCCTCCCCATATGCCCCCTTCCACCTGCCCAGCCTGTCTCTGCTCAGTTTTCCCTGCCAGGGTCTTGCAAGGGGACCTTACAAATCCTATATTCCTTGGGCAACACAATGTCCACTCTCCTGGCCACGATCACCCAGTACAGGAGGTCCCAAACCTGCCTGCATGTTAGCATCACAAAGGAGGTTGTGAAATTCACACTCCTGGGTCCCAGGACCAGCAATCTGAGATGGAGTCAGGAGGCTGGATTGGATTCTTCCTCCACTTCCCTGGTGATTTCTGATGTCAGCCACGTTTAGAAACCTCTGGTCCCACCCATCTCCCCTGGTCCTCTGACTCTAGGCTCCAATGCAGGGCCTGGGAGGCTGACGTTGTTTAGTCGCTCAGTCGTGTCTGATTCTCTATGACCCCATAGACTGCAGCACGCCAGGATTCTCTCTCCTTTACCATTTCCCAGAGTTTGCTCAAACTCTTGTCCATTGAATCAGTGATGCCCTCCAACCATCTCATCCTCTGTTGTCCCCTTCTCCTCCTGCCTTCAATCTTTCCCAGCATCAGGGTCTTTTCTAATGAGTCGGCTCTTCACATCAGGTAGCCAAGTATTGGAGTTTTAGCCTCAGCATCAGTCCTTCCAATGAACATTTAGGGTTTATTTCCTTTAGGATTGACTGGATAGGACCACCCATCCCCTGGTCCTCTGACTCTAGGCTCCCATGCAGGGGCTCGGGAGGTGGTTCACAGCAAGAGAACTCAAGGCAGGCCCGTGCCCTAAGGGACCCTGGCACTAGCTCTCAACATCCCCATGAAACTGCCTTGATGAATCCAACCGGCACCCTATTCTTTTGTCCTGCCTGCAAAACTTGCTCCTTCCCCAGACCACCTCCAGGAAGCTCTCCTCAATCTCATCCCCTTATATCCATCAATCCTCAGCTTGAGCAGTCTCAGTGTGCCCCGCAGGTGCAATACCAGTACAAACCTGCTCCTCCTCCCTTCATCATGATGAGCCCAATGTCTCTATTTCCTTGGTGTCCCTCCCCAAGGCTGGGACTGAGTGTGACTTGGGCCTGATGTGCAGCGTGTGGCCTTTGGAGTCCTGTCGGGAGTGACTATTAGGCACTAGCACCAGCTGAGCCTTGACTCAATGCCACGCACTGCCTGAAGCATGTCACATCTGTTATCGAATTTAACCACCAACATCTTAAGCAGGGACTTTCCTGGTGGTCCAGTGGTTAAGAATCCTCCTGCCAATGCTGGGGACACAGGTTTGATCCTGGTCTGGGAAGATCTCACATGCCGCAAGGCAACTGAGCCTGCACTCCAGGGCCTGTGCTCTACGACGAGAGAAGCCACTGCAAGGAGAAGCCCACTCACCGCAACTCACAAAAAAAGCCTACAGGCAGCCGTGAAGGCCCAGCACAACCAATTAAATAATTTTTAAAAAAACCATCCTATTTCTTAAAAAGCTGGAAATAGAACTGCCATATGACCCAGCAATCCCACTTCTGGGCATACACACCGAGGAAACCAGATCTGAAAGAGACACGTGCACCCCAATGTTCATCGCAGCACTGTTTATAATAGCCAGGACATGGAAGCAACCTAGATGCCCATCAGCAGACGAATGGATGAGGAAGCTGTGGTACATATACACCATGGAATATTACTCAGCCATTAAAAAGAATTCATTTGAATCAGTTCTAATGAGATGGATGAAACTGGAGCCCATTATACAGAGCGAAGTAAGCCAGAAAGATAAAGACCATTACAGTATACTAACACATATATATGGAATTTAGAAAGATGGTAACGATAACCCTATATGCAAAACAGAAAAAGAGACTCCGATGTATAGAACAGACTTGTGGACTCTGGGAGAAGGCGAGGGTGGGATGTTTCAAGAGAACAGCATCGAAACACGTATATTATCTAGGGTGAAACAGATCACCAGCCCAGGTTGGGTGCATGAGACAAGTGCTCGGGCCTGGTGCACTGGGAAGACCCAGAGGGATCGGGTAGAGAGGGAGGTGGGAGGGGGGACCGGGATGGGGAATACATGTAAATCCATGGCTAATTCATTTCAATGTATGACAAAACCCACTGCAATGATGTAAAGTAATTAGCCTCCAACTAATAAAAATAAATGAAAAAAATAAAAATAAAATAAAAAATAAAATAAAAATAAAAAAAAAACCATCCTATGTGATAGGTGACATTTCTACTCCCCTTCTACAGGTGAGGAAACTGAGGCAAAGAGAGGCTACATAACCTGCCCAAGGTCACAGAACTTTGACGTATAAGACAGGAATGAGCTGGAATCCCACACGCCCATGCCCTTCACCTCCCTGTCCAAGATCCTGGAATGCTGGGAATCCCAGCTGCCAGCTGAATCCAGCCTTTCTGGTCGCCTTCTCTCAGGCCTCCCCAGCATGGGCACCCGGCTCCAGTCACGCGGTGAGGTCTCTTCCCAAATCACCGCGCAGCCAGAGCTCTGGGCAGCCCACAGGCTGACAACGTGGAGGATTCGCCTTCCGTGAACACCAGGGACCCGCCCACCTGCTTGCTGTCTGGTCCAGTCAGCTGCCACAGGCTGAGGCCAAGGCCCATGTGAGGCCGGCCATCCAGGGCTCTTGGTCCCCCTGACCTGCTGCTCCAAGTCCAGCAGTGGTTTCCCTGGAGAGATGATGACCCATGATCCAGGGTCAGCAGAGATAAACCAAACAGCAGAGTGGAGTGGCAAACTGCGAGAGACAGACTGCTGGGAGAGTAACTTAGCCTCTCTGCACCTCTGTTTTCCTATCTGCAAAATGGGAGTAGTAACAGTATTATCAGGAAATTCCTTGGCAGTCGAGCAATGGTTAGAACTCTTCGCTTTCACTGCTGAAGGTCCAAGTTCAATCCTTGGTCACAGAACTAAGATCTTGCAAGCTATACAGTGCAGCCAGAAAAAGAAAAAACACCTTCCTCCAGAGACTCTTGTGAGGATTGAAGGAATTTTTGTCATAGGGAACCTCCCCTAACAGAGGGAGCTGTGCTGGGGGGACCAGGATGGAGGGGAGCTGCCTTCCTGAGAGCAAGAATGACCCGAAAGGCTGCGCCAAGGGCTTGTGGGAGTGCAGACATCTCTCTGGGATCCTAAGAGAAGGCTGGGGCTTCAGGCCAGTTCAGCCATGCTCCGTGGTATGCCAACTCCTCGCCCCAAGCAATGCCAGCCCAGGCAAGGGGGCAGACTGTCTGTGTGTCTTGGATCTCAAGGCGTGGTCAGGACACACCCGATCTGCTCCCTGGGGAGGTGGAAATGAATGAAAACTCCTCCTCCATCCCCAACGCCCACCTGGGGCTGGAACGGAAGCAGAGCCTGGAGATGGGGATTCCCAGGGCCAGAGCCAGCCCTGCCTCTCCTCAGGGGTCTGGCCTCCCACTCACACCCTTAGGTCTCCTCAGACGCCCCCCTCCCAACACACACACGCCAACCAGCTGGGTCTGCCTGCTTCTCCATTTCCTGCTGTTCCACAGCAGGGCTTGAAGCTCCCACCCAAGCCTAGCTGGTAATCCTGGAGCCTCAGATCTCAGCTACTATGGGGCTGAGGCTGGTCCTCCCCTCTCCGTGGCCAGATGAAGGCCTGCAGAGAAAGGCTTGAGCCTGGGAAGAAGGGAGCGGGAAGAAAGGCAGAAAGGACCGGGCTGCCTTTGGGGACTCCCCTGCTCCCTCAGCTCTGCGCAAATTTGCTTGTTTGGATCCTGCTTTATTGAAGGTCTCTTTTGGTCCCCCCCGTCAGTCTGCGGGCTCCCCCAGGAGGGGGCAATGTCTGTTCCCTCGGGCACAGGAGGGCACAGAGGGTTCTGTCTCCCCCACCGGATTGGGCGTCCACCGCAGTGAGGAGCTCCATGTCTCCCCCCTTAGATTGGGAGCACCCTGAAAGTGAGAACCATCCATCTTTCTCTCCCTGTGTCAAATCCTTGGGTGTTTGAAGGGTGGACAAGCTCTTGAGAGAATCTCCACCCTACCACCCAAGCCCCAGACAACAAGTTCCTGGCCCTACTTCAGGCCTCGCTGGGCCCCCGAGGGACATCTGGCCCAGTCCCTGCGCCTGCCCCATGGAACTTTCCTCTGCAGCTGCACTATCCTGGCCACCTGGTGCTGGGCTGGGTGGCCCCGCCCAGCCAGGGGGAGGAAGGAGCTGGCCTCGACAGGAGGCCAGTAGGCAGCTTGAGCAAGGCCTAGAGAAAAAACTTCCATCCTCTACTGTCTTCTTAGCCAGCAGACTGAGGGGTCCTAACCAGCTGGGTCTGGGAGAGCTGGAGAGACTCCTCCAAGCAGCATCTCCTAACAAGGACACCCCTCTATCCAAAGGTAGGAGTCAGCAGGAAGGAGCAGAAGGTCTGAGTTGAGTTGCAGTCAATGATGCCACCTCCAACCAGCTGTGGCAACCTGAGACCAGGGGTCTAACCTTTCAGGGAACTCAGTCTTCCCAACTGCAAAATGGGCCCAATGATTACTTATGCTATCAAAAAGGTCTGAGTGGAGCAAGGGAAGCACAGGGCGGCCACTTGAGAGCAGCCTGATATTAGCCACATGTCTGGGGACCTGCTTATCTACCAGGTGCTTTACCTGGATTATCTCAGCAACGCCCAGAATTCTGCACACTCTGTGGAGGCTGCCTTGCACCTACTCTGCCCCCTCTCATCACCTGCTGGGGATCAGGGCACCTGCAGCCTTGTCCTCAATCTGGTCTCTCCAACTCACCCCCCTGAGTTTCATCATAGGTGGTTGGGGTTTCTCTCCTGGGATGGTCTAAAGTGGAGGGAGCCTACATCAGTAGAAGCAGAAGGAAGAGAGACTCAGGGGGAAAAAAGGCCAGCAACTAGACCCCGGCCACAGGCCCTTTGCACATACCACCAGCCCAGCCCTGTGCTTAGTACCGCTCTCACTGGATTTTTTGACAGGTCTTACTGTCCTGCTGGGTACTCCGGAAAGTAGCACTGGGCCCAAGAAAGAAAATGCCTTGATGGCCTGGGCATTGAGCTGAACTCTCACCAACAGGGCTCAACACACGGAATCCCTGTTCAAGCTCTGGGACTGAGGTATGTTCGCTCCTGTTTTGCAGGCGAGAACACCAAGCCTCATGGAGATGAAGCAACACTGCTTCACCATGGGAGACATGTGGCCTTGGGTAGAACCTGACAAAAGGAAGTATTCAAGAAATGGTGGTTCCCATCCCTTCTCCTGGCCCAAGTCTGCTAAACTACCATCTGTTCCCAGGTGCCATCTGCTAAACTACCCCCACTCTGTTCCCAGGTTCTCTAGGAGGGTGGACCAAGCAGAATGGGGATGATGGAGGCTGTGGCCAGTCTGGCTCTGCTTTGCTGGGCTTGCCCACCTTCAGTGTCCCCCTGGGGGCTCTCAGATGCTCACTGGGCAGGTGGTCCAGGTAGAGCTGGGGAGGAGCAGAGCACCCACTTGGGATGGTGGGACACCTTGAAATCCAATCTGCCTTGGGGATGTAGAAGGAGCACTAGACCTGGAATCCAGCAGATCTGAGACCTACCACTCCAAGGCTGGACCTCCCTGGGCAGTTACTGAACCTGTCTGGGCCCCAGTTTCCTCATGTGCAACCCAGAAAGAGTTAAGAGCCACCTGACAGGGGCAGAGCAGACCACAGAGGACACAGGCAAGTACCAACGGTTCTGGCATTTGAGCCACCCCTTCCACCCCAGACCCTGCCCAGGGGCCCCTCACTCCAGGGTTGTGAGGCCTAGGTGAGAATCCAAGTTCCAAAGTCCACAAGCAGAATGACCTTGGGCAAGTGAGTCAATTCTAGAGCCTCAGTTTGCCCAGCTGGAAAATGGGAATAGTAGAAGGATGGGCTTCAGCTTGGGATCGGCTTAACTGATGTCTGACCCGTGGTCAGCGCTCCATATATGGTAGCTACTGTTCTTATTATTATGCGTGCTATTATTCTTTGACCCTTTGGGTCCTGAACGGGAGTTCGGCCATTCCTCCCCTCCAGCGGCATGAAAGCGGGAACCGCAACCCTAAGAGGGGAAGTGACCAAGTCACCAGCGAGTCAGGGTACCAGCAACCTGAACCCAGAAACCCTCAGAAGCCCAGGACTTCCCTACAGACCTCTCCTAACGGAGGCAGCCCCTAGACCAGCCCTCCAGCCCCCATCCTCCCGCTCCAGCCCCTGTTGCCTCCCTCCCGCACCACCCACTCTCCCGCCCGGAGCCCTCACCCTCCGGCTTGGCGTCACCCTTCGTTTCTGCTAGGAGCAGCCAGCCCAGCGGGGCCAGGAGCAGCAGGAGCCGCATGGCTGGGATCTGGGAACGTCCGGCCGGTCCAGCGGCGCTCGCAGGCTGGAAACTTCGCGATGGGGTCGGCGATCCCGCTGCCACGCACTGGGCCCGCCCCGGGGGCGGTGTCGCGCCGCGCGGCCTGGGGGCAGGGTTTCCTACAGACTCGCCAGAATCAGCTGCTTCTCCGAGTCCAGGCAGCTCCCTGCGGCCTGTTCCCGCGGCTCCCGGGTCCTTCCGCCGCCGCCCTGCTCCCTCTTCTCCCGGGGCTTCACTCCGAGCGGGAAGAGGAGGCGAGACGGGCGAGGGGCGAGGGGCGAGGCGCGAGGCAACAGTTTCTATACCCAAGACCCTGCGCCAAGCCTTGATGGTAACGATCAATGTGAGCCTCGGTTTCCACGCTTGAAAAGTGGGGTTTACGATGGCCGCTATGCATTGGATCTTGCACGGGTTAGTGACGTTGCTACCAACGGGGCACCTAGAACAGCCCCGTGATAAGCTCTCAGTACATCTCAGCCCTTCAGATTTCTTTAGTCCTTGTTCAAAGCGAAAGTGGGCTTGAGGGTCTGAGCCTGGAGTGGGCGAGGCCGGCAGGAATGTGTTCAGAGGCATCCACACCCTTGCGGGCCCTCCTGGCTGCTGGCCATGTAGAAAGCGCAACACCGACCCACAATAAGGGCTCACTTTACTCTGCCTAAAGTTTGTCCCTGGGAGGTAAAGGAGAACCTAGGAGCCTAGGAAGGTCTTGGCCCTGAGGTCACTGTTGAATGAATGAATGAATGAAATTGTTTAAGGTCTTTCACAGAAGTGAGTGCTTCAAGCATGTGGGACTGCTTCACGTGAGGAATACACCGTTGATAGGATGTCATGAGGGGAAAGCAGTATATACACTATGACTCCACTCAGCAAAAATATATCCTTACAGATACGATGCTAAAAGAAAATGGTAGTCAAATGTTTACAGTCATAATTTCCAGCTTGTGGGAACATGTGTATGTTATTCCCAGGTAGTTTTTATTTTCTTTTTTATATTTTTCATTGTTTTTAGAATCATTTTACAATGAATATATACTATTTGTACAATCCAAACAAAGTCAACATATTATTTATATATGTATTTATTTGACCGCGCCAGGTCTTAGTTGCAGCACATGGGATCTTCAACGATCATCCTTGCAGCACGCACTTTAGTTTCAGCATGTGCAGTCTATTTGTGGCCTGTGGGATCTAGTTCCCCAACCAGGAATCCAACCTGCGCCACTTCATTGGGAGCTCTGTCTTAGCGACTGGACTACCAGGGAATCCCACATGTTCTTTTAGAAAGTAAGTACAGTCCCTGGGAACCTGGGAGATCATCTCATTGTACAGATTCACTCGTGGTAAATATGATAAAAGTGAGGCCCAGGGGACGTAGCAGCAAGCTCAAGGTCAAAAGGCAAGTGAAGGGAGGCATGTGTGCCAACCAGGGCCTCTGCCAGCCAAATGGGACCTGGGACCCAGGGCAGGGAGTTTCTGCAGCTGGGGACAGGACTTGATGCCAGGATCCACCGGATGTTTTTTAAATTCAGGAGGATGCAGGCTGAAATTCCAGCTCCTTCGAGGAGGAAATGGAAGGATAAGCAGAGGGGAAGAGAAGGAGCATGTGTTGACTGGCTCAGTTTTCAAAGCTCTGGCTCATGTCTCATTCCCCAGGGCCCTGCCAGTTGGGCAGTATTGCCCTTGTTTGTGAAATGAGGAAATCAGAGCTCAGAGAAGTGGAGCAACTTGCTCAAAGTCACACAGCTGATGTGGGACCACAGAAAGGGAGGCAACTTTTCTCTAACTTCCCTTTTGCTCGGGCCCAAGAAGAATCTCGATGATGGTGACGTACTCTGGACAGAAAAATTCCTAGGGCAGTGGGGTTCCCAGAGTCATTGCAAACGAGTAGGGGAAATCAATCTTGGAGGCTGGTGGCCTCCCTTTGAGAAAGGATCACCCTGGTGAAGCCTGCCCCACCTCCCCAATTTGGATATCCATTCTTCTGTCCCCCCAACCCCCTTCACTAAATTGCTGAAACTTGAACTCGGTCCAAGCTTCATCGGAAGGGAAGGCCTGTCTCTTTAAGCAGCCAGGGGTGGCAGCCGCCCAGATGTTACTCTCGGTACGTGCTGCACGTGTTGTGCACATTTAAAGGAACCGGATTCTGCTTTTCTTGGAAGGTACAGAAAGGATAGCAGGGCTAGAGGGCGGTGGTCTGGTGCCACAAGAGGCTGTTCTCCCTTTCATTCTCTGCTTTTATCCATTTTTATCATTTCTTTTGTTGACCGGAGGAAGTGTGATAGTCTCAGTTAACAGCTACATTCTCTGTGTTACCCGCCGATTCTCAGCTTCCGCCCACTTTACAGCCATCAGTGAGTCCCACTGGTACCTACTCCTGTTGGTTTGGTTTTTTTGTTTGTTATTTATTTATTTTTACCTACTCCTTTTAATAATAATAATAATAGAATTTCCAAGCTGTTTCCTTAAATGAAAAAAGTAACATGCAAGTAATATGCTAACTCCCACTGGCTTCCACTCCCTTTAATAATAATAATAATAATAATAATAATAGAATTTCTCTTAAATGAAAAAAGTAACATGCAAGTGTATATCATATGCTATAATTTCTGTGAAGGAAAAAATATAGATCTCTGTCTATATATTTGTTAGTGAATAGAATTTCTGAAAACGTATCCAAGGAACAAGAAGCAGTGGTTCCACCTAGGAAGAGGAACTAACTAGCTGGAGCTCCTGGAAAGAGGAAGACTTAATGCCCATGCATCACCCTTTTGTATATTTTGAATTTTGTATCATGTATGCGTGTTTTCTGTTTCCTAGTCAAAAAAAGAAATTTAAATAATGAGTGTTATTTTTTAAGCCAGTGTGTGTGTGTGTGTGTGTGTGTGTGTGTGTTAGTCAATCAGTCGTGTCTGACTCTTTGCGACCCCATGAACTGTAGCCCTTCCAGCCTCCTCTGTCCATGGGATTCTCCAGGCAAGAATATTGGAGTGGGTTGTCATGCCACTCTCGAGGGGATCTTCCCTAGTCCAGGGATCATACCCGCGTCTCCTGCATCACAGGGAGATTCTTTACTGCTGAGCCACTGGGGAACATATTTTAAGCCAGGCAATATGCTAAATGTTTAACTTGTTTGTCCAGCTTAAGTCTCAGACCAATCCAGCGCTGTCTTGTGATCCCCATTTTATGGAAGGAGAAACCAAGGCCCAAGGAAGTTAGCTGACTTGCTAGCAAGGGGCAAGGCCAAGACTCAAAACCCAGGTAGCCTCAAGCCAGGGTCCTCACTCTTTTTTTTTTTTTAATTTACCTTTGACTGCACTATGTTTTTGTTGCTGCACGCGAGCTTTCTCTAGTTGAGGCAAGAAGGAGCTACTCTTTCTTGTGGTCCATGGGCTTCTCATTGCAGTGACTTCTTTTGTTGTGGGGCATGGGCTCCAGAGCCTCGGACTTCAGTAGTTGTGACTCACTGGCTTCGTTGCTCCGAAGCATGTAGGATCTTCCTGGCCCACGGATTGAACCCATGTTTCCTGCACTGGCCAGCAGATTCTTAACCACTGGACCATCAGGGAAGTCCAAGGTCTTTTCTCCTGACCTTCTGACTTTGTTGTGGCTATATTGCTGACCCTGTGATTCCTTCCCCTGGGGTGTTTGAGAGTGGTAAGAAGTTAAGAGAGAGAGGGGGCTTCCCTGGTGCTCAGTGGTAAAGAATTCACCTGCCAATACAGGAGATGGGGATTCCATCCCTGAGTGGGGAAGATTCCCTGGAGGAAATGGCAACCCACTCCAGTATTCTTGCCTGGGAAACCACATGGACAGAGGAGCCTGGTGGGCTACAGTCCATGGGGTCGCAAAGAGTCGAGTTGGATACGACTTAGAGATTAAACAACAATAATGACAACAACAAGGGAGTTAAGAGCACCAACAATGACCCTTCTCTTTGACGTAGAAATCTACTTCCAGAAATTGCTCCCCCAGAAACAATCTCAAAAGACCAAGCTATATGTCTATCACACAGATGTTTACAGTAGCAAAAACATTTTCATAGGTTTACATGTACTGTGTACTTGCACCTTGTTTGCTTTGCTTGTATTAACTTATTTATTCCTCAGAAATCTGAGAGGCAGGTTCTCTGGTCATCCCCATTTTACAGGTGGGATCAAGCCTGGTTTAGTCCTTTGCTGTCATCTCACTGTTCCTCCCAAGTACTTCTGCCTTGCTGAGTTGGTTGGATGGATCCTATCTGTCTAACTGTAGGTTATGGATTCCTGCACATTCATGAAGCTGTCCTGTGGGCTTGTGAAATCCTTGTGGGAGTCAAGATTCTGTGTGTATGTTTTGATAATGATCTTAAAAATATAAAAAGGTGAGCATACTGAAGGATCACCTGGAGAGTCACCTTCTCTTAGGATGCTGGCCCTAGAACTCAGCAAACACATCTGCATCTGCACACAGCTCACAAGAAGCCACCTCAAATGACCGTATAATTTTCAACAACTGGGAAGCACACTGTCTGACTTTGGAATGTCCTGAAACTAAAACGGAAACAATCGTCCCATTGTCTTCTCCTGTGCTCTGATTGAATTTTTCCCCCCAGAAACAAAATTTCTCTTCTGCATTGATAATTCACAATTGAAAATCATTTTCAAAGCATGCAGCTTTAGTGTTTTATGTTATTTAATAAGTTAAAACTCACAGCTGACATCAAGAAGATGACTTAGGGGCCTTTCCTGGTGGTCCAGTGGTTAAGAATTCCCTGGTGGCTCAGACAGTAATGCAATGCAGGAAACCAGAGTTCCATCCTCGGGTCGGGAAGATCCCCTGGAGAAGAGAATGGCAACCCACTCCAGTATTCTTACCTGAAGAATTTCACAGACAGAGGGGCCTAGTGGGCTACAGTTCATGGACTTGCAAAGAATCATACAGGACTGAGCCACTATCTCTTTCATTTTCTTTTCCAATGCAGGGGACGTGGGTTCAAGCCCTGGTCTGGGAAAATTCCACATGCCTCGGAGCAGTTAAGCCTCTAGAGAGGCCGCATGCTGACACATGCCAAACAAATAATTAAAAGTTACTTATCTAAAAGAAAGAGAAGAAGATGACTTGGTATGGTAGAGAAATGGAGTGTCCTGGAACTGGTTTGTGTCGCATACATACTGTACATGCAGCCAGACTGGTCTGGAAAAGTGTCAACAAAATATATCCTAGGAAATCTGATTGACAATGGTTACTTTCTTTTCTTTTTCTTTCTCTTTTTTTGGGGGGGTTACTATTCTGCACAGTTGTTAAGTATTTTTGCAGTGAGGATCATTTTTACAGAAAAAAGTTAAAAAATTATTTTAAAAAAAGCTTAGGGCTGTTGAATCCATCAGTAGCAGATGGGGCCCGACACGTGTTAGGTTTGGCTAGCGCGGTGGCTTTTTTTGTTCTTTCCATGAGCTGGAAGCGTCCAGTCTTCCACAGACCCCGACCGGACTCTTTCGGACTTGGCAGAACAGAAGAACCGGTGGCCCATCCCCCGGCGGTGCCCGCCCCCTCCTTTCTGTGGCCCCGCCTCCTGTGGGGCCCGCTCGCTCCCCTTCCTCCACCCGCCTCTTTTCCATCTGTCGCAAAAGATTCGGCGGCGCTTGACGGCTGGTGTTGTTTGACGGCCGGAGGGAACCGAGAAGGAGGAGGAAGCAGCTGTGGTGGCTGCCGCGGCGCCTGCGACTGGAGCCGGGGTGGGCGCTGCGGTCCGGGCCGGGGAGTGAGGCGCGGGCGGCCGGGCCGGTGGGCTGGGCGGCGGGCCCGGCGGCCGCCCCCGCGCCGCGCCCGCGCCTGGCGGCCCGATGTGGCTGCAGCAGCGGCTTAAGGGGCTGCCGGGACTGCTGTCGAGCAGCTGGGCCCGCCGCCTACTCTGCCTGCTCGGCCTCCTGGTGCTGCTTCTCTGGTTCGCGGGCTCCGGGGCGCGGCGGGCGGCGGGCGGCCTGCAGCTGCTGCCCTGGTCCCACGGCGAGCCGGGCGCTGCCGAGCCCTCTGCCTGTCTGGAGGCGGCCACCCACGCCTGGCGCAGCCTGCGGGAGCGGGGCGAGGCTGTGCCCCTGGGCCCTGGAGTGCCATCTCTGGTGGCCAACGGCTTTCTGGCCCTGGACGTGGTCGCCAACCGGCTGTGGGTGACCCCTGGGGAGCGGGAGCCCGCCGTGGCGCCGGACTTCGTGCCCTTCGTGCAGCTGCGCCCGCTGAGCCCGCTCCCTGAAGCTGGGGAGTCAGTGTTGCTTCTGCGGGAAGGGCTGCTGCGGCGAGTACGTTGCTTGCAGCTGGGGACCTCGGGTCCCGGCCCTGCGGCCGCCGGCCCGGGCCCCGCCTCGGCCTCCGGCCTGCTCACGGGATCCGGCCGAGACTGCGTGCTGCTGCAGGAGGACTTTCTCGCTCACCGTGGCCGACCCCACGTCTATCTGCAGCGCATCCAGCTCAACAACCCCACGGAACGCGTGGCCGCGCTGCAGACTGTGGGGCCCACTGCCGGCCCGGCCCCCAGGGCCTTCACCAGCACCCTGGAGAAGGTCGGAGACCATCAGTTCCTCCTCTACTCTGGCCGGTCCCCGCCTGTTCCCACGGGGCTGGTGCATCTGGTGGTGGTGGCCGCCAAGAAGTTAGTGGACCGTCTCCAGGTGGCTCCCAAGGCGCAGCTGGACGAGACTGTGCTGTGGGTGGTGCACGTTTCTGGCCCCCTTAACCCCCAGGTGCTCAAAAGCAAAGCAGCCAAGGAGCTCAAGGTGCTCCAGGACTTGGCTCGGAAGGAAATGCTGGAGCTCTTGGAGATGCCAGCAGCTGAGCTGCTCCAGGATCACCAGCGCCTCTGGGCTCAGCTCTTCAGTCCAGGTGAGGTCCGGCTTTGTCAGGCGTCCACACCTTGCAGCAGGGTGAGCACAGCCCACCCTGGGGATGCCGCTGCAAAGTCAGCAGAACTGACACTGAAGGGGGTTCCTGGGGTGGCTCATACTTGGGCTTGCCATTGGGTCTGGGGCTGACTCTTTTGCTCCACCACTTAGTATCTGCGTGACCTTGAACCAGTCACTGACTCTCTCTTGGCCTGTATTCAATAATAATAGTAACGCCTACCTCAGAGGACATTTAGCAGAGTCTTATGAGAGAAGTGCGTAAAGGGCAGGTGTTATAATTTGTTCTTGTAGATGAAGCCTGGTTTGAGCAGAGTGGCTTGGGGGTGGGGGGGAAGGATCAGTTGGTAAAGGATAAACGAAGGGCCTGGCCCGTCCCCAGAGTCTTTCCTCAGTTCCCCACAGTTTCAGCTGGTGACAGGCTTGGGCTTCTTTTTTTAAAAAAATTACTTATTTTTTGGCTGAGCCAGGTCGTTGTTGCAGCATGCAGTTTTCTCTAGTTGTGGCTTGTGGGCTCCAGAGCCCACGGGCTTAGTTGCTACGTGGCATGTGGAATCTTAGTTCCCCAGCCAGGGATCAGACTCTCGTACCCTGCATTGGAACGTGGATTCTTAACTGCTGGACCACCAGGGAAGTCCCTGGTGCACATTTTTAAAGGTCCCACTGGCTGCTGTCTCAGCGTATAGACAGTAAGTGGGGGCAGGGGGCAGTAGAATTTGGAGACCAGATAGGTGGTTTTGGCAGGAGCCGAGGTGAGGGGAGGGTGGCTGGGACCAGAGCTGTGACTGTGGAGGCCACGGTGGATGACTCTGATACTTTCGGAGCTGGAGCCACTGGAGATTTCAGTAGACTGGCAGTGAAGAGTGAGAACGTGAGGGTGACTCCTGAGTTTGTGGGGAGGGTGCCAGCAGGTGTCTGGAGATGATTTAAGGAAGGATTAAGAGGGGACTGGAAGAATTCCAACCTTGTCAGGTTCAAAATGCCTGTCAGACATCCAGGTAGAGACACCACATGTGCGGTTAGCTGTCTGAGGCTAGCGCTCATACAAATCTGGGAGCTCTTCTGATCAGATGTCGTTTGAGGTTATGAGCCCAGGAAACAGAAGCAGCCTATGACCGGCCAGGGCATAGGTGACCGTTCTGGAGACAGGGGACTGGCCTTTTGACTTGGCGTCATAGGCTTGGCTAAGTCTGTGTTCTTCTGGGCTCTGGCAGGAACCCCACTGGCAGGTTTCAGGCCCTCGGGGCTCCACGTGGTTATGTGAGGAAGCCAGGCAGGATAATGTTCCCCCGAACTCTAGAGAGACTAGAACTGCTGTTTTTATCAAGGACAAAAACTTTGTGTCTCTGCTGCTTTTTTTGTTGTTGTTGCTCTTGTTATTTATTTGACTACACCAGGTCTTAGTTGCAGTACTCAGAATCTTTGATCTTTGTTGTAGCATGCGGGTTCTTTATTTGCAGCACACACTCTGAGTTGCAGCATGTGGGATCTAGTTCCCCGACCAGGGATCAAACCCTTGTTCCCTGCATTGGGAGCACAGAGTCTTAGCCACTGGACCACCAGGGAAGTCCCCAGCTCTGCTGCTTTTGATCTTTTGTTTCATAACCTCAGCCTCCCAGCAGTGTTGGTCCTCCTTAACATGCAACCTTTATGGCATGACAGGTGTGGAAATGAAGAAGATCACAGATGCCCATACTCCATCTGGCCTGACCGTGAACCTGACGCTGTACTACATGCTGTCCTGCTCCCCGGCCCCGCTGCTCAGCCCCGACCTGAGCCACAGGGAGCGGGACCAGATGGAGTCGACGCTCAACTATGAAGATCACTGCTTCAGCGGCCACGCCACCATGCACGCTGAGAACCTCTGGCCAGGCCGCCTATCCTCCGTCCAGCAGATCCTGCAGCTCTGGGACCTGTGGAGGCTGACCCTGCAGAAGCGCGGCTGCAAGGGGCTGGTGCGGGCGGGCGCCCCCGGCATCCTTCAGGGCATGGTGCTCAGCTTTGGTGGCCTGCAGTTCACCGAGAACCACCTCCAGTTCCAAGCCGACCCTGATGTGCTGCACAACAGCTACGCCCTGCACGGCATCCGCTACAAGAACGACCACATCAACCTGGCCGTGCTCGCAGACGCTGAGGGCAAGCCGTACCTGCACGTGTCTGTAGAGTCCCGAGGCCAGCTCGTCAAGATCTACGCCTGCGAAGCGGGCTGCCTGGACGAGCCTGTGGAGCTGACCTCGGCGCCCCAGGGCCACACCTTCTCGGTCATGGTGACACAGCCCATCACGCCGCTGCTCTACATCTCAACCGACCTTACGCACCTGCAAGACCTGCGGCACACGCTGCACCTCAAGGCCATCCTGGCCCACGACGAGCACATGGCCCAGCAGGACCCGGGGCTGCCCTTCCTCTTCTGGTTCAGCGTGGCCTCCCTCATCACCCTCTTCCACCTTTTCCTCTTCAAGCTCATCTACAATGAGTACTGTGGGCCTGGCGCCAAGCCCTTCTTCAGGAATAAGGTAGAAAGCCCCTGTATCTCCAGCACCCAGGGCCCCAGCCTTGTATTCTGTCCCAAATCTAGGACAGAGTGAGGCTGGGGGAATGGTGGGATATCCTTTTTTTTTTAATTGGAGGATAATTGCTTTACAACGTTGGGTTGGTTTCTGCCATACATCAACATAAATCAGCCATAGGTATACATATGTCCCCTCCCTCTTGAACCTCCCTCCTGTGAAGTGTCCTTTTAAGCTAGTGTCTTCTGTCCTCATCACAGAGGGGAGCAGGTGTACTTTGAGAGGACATTTAAAAGAAGCTTCTTAGAGGAGCCCATTGGAAGGGCAGCTGTGGAATCCAGACAGGCGTAGATAAATGTCTGCTGGCCTCACAGGGACGTAGGCAGTCCTGTCACCACATCCTAAATCTCAACAGTTAAAAATACCTGCCACAAACCCCTAGATGGACTTGAAGCCTCTACCTAACTGCTGATGAGATCTGCACCCCCACCCCTGAGAGCCTGTTTACCGAGTTCAGAGGTCAGTCCCATGCAGTGAGCCGGGATAAGATCATTTCCCTCCTGTTTCCTGAAACATCTTTGCTCCCAGGAAGCCATGGTTTGGGCCATGGTGACTGTGGAACTCTCATCGAAACATGTCTTGGAGTTTGGGATGGGTGTCCCTGGGGGAGGCTGCCTGCCATTCCTCTCATTAGATTGTAGTGGGGTGGAGGGTAGGTGGAGGGTACATTTAGCTCCAGGTCTGTGCTCCCAGTGGCTTCTGGTTCAGAGAAGGAAGTAGCACTTGACCTAAAGACGTGGGAGAAGGATCAGAGGCAGGTCTGAACTTGTCAAGCGTGAGGAACACAGAAGTCAGATCAAAGAGAAATGTGCAGATGGCCTTTCCGGGTGGCTGTCATGGGCTGCATTGCATTTGCGTGGGTCTGGCAGCCTCAGTGAAGCAGGTGGGCGGGCTGCTTCTCCCTGCTGGGTGGTGGACTTCTCTGCTGTTATTCTGGCCTAGCCCCATCCACCCATGGTTCCCAGCTGATCAGGGGGACAGGCCAAGCTATCTTCTTGGATCTTGCCCAGTGATCTCCCACTCCTGAAGCCAGGCCTGGCCAGAGCAGAGCCTGTGAACTTGCTGCACCTGCCTAAGGAGATGCCCAGGCCCTGAGTCCAGGATGGCTGTAGCCTGTCTCTGGGTTGGGCACCGTCATCCAGGAGCCAGGATGGGATGCTAGCAGGGTGTTCCCATCACCTGCTTCCCTCAAGATTGCTGTAGCTGTCCACTGGGGTTGGCATGTGCAGTAATGTCCTGTCTTGTTGATTGAACAGGAAGATCCCAGTGTCTGAGTGACATCAGTCCTGCTTTCAGTCGCCACTTGCACAAGATGCCCAGCACTGAAAGTCCTGCTGCTGCGAACAAGGGATCCTGTGAAAGCACCCAGCCTTTTGTGCCTTGTTGGGGGACACCAGTGACTCAGAAGTGCGTGTGGATATTCAGGAGTTTGCATCTGGGAGGGGAGGGGAGGGGCCGATGGACTTTTTGTAAGCTTTTGATTCAATAAAATGAACCTGTACGGAAAATACTTGAAATTGAACTCACTCCTTCCACTTTCTCCCTTTCTTCTATCCCAGGAAATAGACCCTCTTTTGAAAAGACTTGTCTAGGAAAATATGTGTTCTTTTCCTAATTTAATGTGTTCTTTTCTTGAATGAATTTTTATTAATAATTTATTGTTGAGATTTTGCCAGATGACTTTTGCATCCACTCTTCGGTAGTGAATCTTGGCGGTGATTTCCGGGAGGTTTGGAGCCCTGTAGGCTGCTTGCATGGAGAGGGTGGGTCTCCATCACCCTGGGGTTTGCACATCGTGTCCTTACCATGAGCCTGTGGAGACCGTGGTTTTGTACCTCTGGGCCTTAGGGGAGGTGTTTAACTTTCCAGTGACTGTTGATTGTTGGGTTTTGGAATACCAAAGCTTTTTTTTGTCGTTCTGTTTTTAAATAAATCTCTTTCAAACTTCCATAAGCAGTTTGTGTGTGGTTAAAACCTCTGGAGACATCAGACCTTCCTCAGTCACCAGACTGGGGGAGAATTCGAAGCACAAGGCCCCGCTGTGGTGACAGTGTTCTTTTCCCACATCCTCTCCCCTTCAGAATAGCCCCTCAGAGTATGTGGATGTGGCCCCTGCCACCCTCCTTGGGGTTTGCTGCATGTCCTGGCAGAGGGGGCTGCTCGAGGAGTGTCACCGAGGTCCCTTCCTGCTGCGGTGCCTCATCCCCAGCCTGCCCTGAAGAGCCTGGAGTTGCCTGCCCTGGTATTGCTGCCCGTAGGACTGCTGCTGCTGTTCACTTAGTCCTGTCCGACTCTGCAGCTCCATGGACTGTAGCCCACCAGGCCCTGTGGGATTTCCCAGGCAAGAAAACTGGAGCAGATTACCATTTTCTACTCCAGGGGATCTTTCCGACCCAGGGATCAAACCCAAGTCTCCTGCATTGGCAGGTGGGTTCTTTACCCCTGAGCCACCTGGGAAGCAGGCCTCCTGCCAGTTCTGGAAGCTAAGGTCTGAATCCTTTGTGGGGAGAATGGAGCAAAGGGGCCATGCTGAGCATGGCAGTCCACCTTGGGGACCATCACCCTGCTTCCTAGGTGTGTGTTTTGAGCAGCTTGACTCGCCTGGTTTCGGTCCCAAGGGTCTGGCCCCCAGCAGGCAGCTGGGAGAGAGAAAAAAAAAGTGCCTCAGGCTCTTCTCTGAGTAGCCCTGGTTTTCCAGATGCTTCAGTCCTGAGTACCATCCTCTCCTGCTCTCAGGGTGCAGAGCATTGAGTGCTTCCTGATTCCAGCCAGGGGACCCTTGGCTGGCAGGGGGCGAGGTAGACTGCGGTTCACAGTGTGACGTGGCCTCTAGTCACTGCATTCAACTGGAAGCTACTTGGCCACAGGAGCAGTGCTTCATGGCTCCCTTCCTCCTGTTTAACTTGCAGCAAGGCATGGTGTGGGCTCCTGTACATGTAAAAATGAGCTACGTACCTGTGCCTAGAAAATACTGAACTAGCAAGTTTAATTTCAGTAGACGAGTATCTGTGATTTATAGGTCTCATTGAAGCGAGCACGGGCGTTAGGTATTTTACATCAACACAGCCTTGTGGGGGAAGAGGTTGCTGAGGGTTAAGGTGCCAATTTAAGAGATAATGAAATGACCTCTGAATAGTTTGCTCAGGACTTCCCTGGTGATCCATTGGTTAAGAATCCACCTGCTAGGGCTTTTCTGGTGGCTCAGTGGTAAAGAAAATGCTGGCCAATGCAGGAGCCAGGGGTTTGATTCCTGGTCCAGGAAGATCTCACATGCTGTGGAGCAACTAAGCCTGTGTGCCCTAGAGCCCGTGTTCTGCAACAAGAGAAGCCACTGTGATGAGAAGCCCCCACTTGCTGCAACTAGAGAAAAGCCCATGCAGCATCAAAGACCCAGAGCAGTCAAAAATAATAAAATCTAAAAAGAATCTACCTGACAATGAGAGGATATGGGTTCGATCCCTGGTCCGGGAAGTTTCCATGTGCCACGGGGCAACTAAGCCCCTGTGCCACAACTACTGAGTCTGCGCTCTGGAGCCCAAGCTCCTCATCAAAAGACCACAATGAGAAGTCCGAACACCACAACTGGAGAGTAGGCCCCATCACCGCAACTAGGGAAAGACCCAGTACAGCAATGAAGACCTAGCCCAGCACAGCCAAAAATAAATTTAAAAAAATAATTTGCTCAAGTCTGCACAGCTCAAGCAGGGATGTAAGCTGGGACTCGCTATTGGCCCAGCCTCTCTCAGCCCCTACACTCCATCTCTCCCTTCGAATTCCTCTGATGGCCCCTGTGGGATGAGGTGGGGTAATGCATTTTCTGCCATGAGCCTCTGCAGTGCCTCCAGTTTGGCCTCAGTTGGGAGCAGGCCATCTATAACCCTAGTGGGTCTGCCTCCCATGGTCCAGTAATGCACCAGAGAAAGTTCAGTTCAGTCGCTCAGTAATGTCCAACTTTTTGTGACCCCATGGACTGCAGCATGCCAGGCTTTCCTGTCCACCAACTCCCGGAGCTTGCTCAAACTCATGTCTATCGAATCGGCGATGCCATCCAAAGAGGCTAGGTCAAGTCGCTTTTCAGGGGCAGACACCTGGTATGGAAAATGTAATCGCATACTATCCAGCACTTCCTAGCAGCTAAAATTTTGGCTTGGAAATGTATTAACTCTCTGAAGACCGACAGGCTCCTTGGCATCTCATGCCCCAGCTCACATCCTCGTAGGCTACTTTTCACTCCTGCCATGGTTGCAGGAGTGAACCTGCAGCCACCAGCTCTTTCCCAAGGTGGGTTCCTGGCAGCACCTGGCCTCAGCTTCTCTCTGACCTCAGGAAGCTGTTCTGCACTCAGCATGTGTGTAGCCTCGAAGCAGGCCAAGGATAACACTGCTCAGGGCAGCCCTTCTCCCTTGGGAGTTGGAGCCAGTGCTCCCTCCACCATCCCCTGGGTGGACAATTGCGAGAGACTTGCTAAACTGCTTCTCAGATGGGATCAGGCCCCTGCTGCCCACAGTGGTGAAGAATTCAGCAAGACACCCTTGATTTGCTTTCACTCCCTCCATTTTACCCTCTCCGTCTCCCTCTGCTGTTCCCTGTGAGCTCTTACAAATAAGCTGCCTGCACACAAGCTTTTGCTTCAGTAAGACACTAATCATGAGGTCCATAATTAGCTCTGGGCAATTTTTCCAAAAGGAAGTTGAGTTCTCCTGTGAATGCTATTATGGACTGAGTGTTGGGGATCCCCAAATTCATATGTTGAAACCTAACCTCCACGTGATGAAGTTTGGAGGAGGGGCCTTTGGGAGCTGAGTGGGTCATGAGGGTGGAGACCTCATGAACAGGATTAGTGCCCTTATAAAAGAGACCCAGAGAGCTCCCCAGTCCTCTTCCTGCTGAGTGAGGGCACAGAGAGAAGACAACTGTCTCAGCCCAGAAGAGGGCTCTCATCAGATTCCAATCATGCCGGCACCCTGGTCTCAGACTTTCAGCCCCCAGAACTGTGAGAAATAGGTTTCTGTTGTTTATGAGCCACCCAGTCTGTGGTATTCTGCCATAGGAGCCCAAATGGACTAAGACAGGCATATTCTTCCACTGGGGGAATGCAACTTTTCAAAGTGATAATAAGCCAAGAATACAAACATTCATAGGATCTTAGATTAAAAAAATCTTTAGAGTTAGTTTTGCTCAAGAGTCTGTAACCTGTCTTCAAGAGACCTGTGAATCCCTGGAATTGCAAAATGTATATATGCATATATATGTGTATATATATATATATATACATATATATATGTATATATTTTCTTTTTTTTTCATGAGGAGAGTTTCTGTAACTTTCCTCAGATCCTTAAAAGGATTCCTGACCTTTAAAAAAACCCTTAAGAACAAGATACTCTGCACTTTGGGGTCTTGTTTTCAGCTCCCCACCAACTCCAAGAAGCAGCAGTGGTCTGACCTTCTGCCATCAGCTTAGGGGTCCAGTGATTGGGCTGATACCCCCACTTGCTGAGGGCACTTGCCACCTTGCAAAAAGGAGGCTTATCTCAGCAGGCAGGTGGTGGTTGAGCAAACAGCCTGACCATGAACAAGCTACCTAGTCTCACAATCCTGCTTCCTAGAGCCTCTCCTCTGGACTTTGACCAATGGAAGCTTCAAATAAAATCATTCAACTCAGTAAATGTTCATGGTGATTCTTTTAGCAGGCTTTGCATATATCTGACCCTTGGGTGTAAAACAGGCAACGGTTACCTTTGACAGACATCTGCATGCTGGGCACTTCCCCACTAGTTCAAGGTCCACGAAGGCAGTGGCTAAACCTGTTTTTCACTCTGGATGGACCAGAGACTAGCACAATGCCTGGCATAGGGTGGGTGTTTAAAGAATACTTGTTGAATTACATTTGTATGCCTTATGTCATTCAACCCTGGTGTTTCAATTAAAACTTTGGGGTTGCAAGTGATAGAAAACTTAATTCTAACTGGCTTAAACCAAAATAAAAGTACTGGTTCCTTAACAGGATAGTCCAGGAGGACTTCAGGAATGGCTTGATGCAGGAATCAAATAATTTCAGTAAGATCCATCTCTTGGCTCTACTTCCTGTAGATTGGCTTCCATCCTCAGATGGGCCAAGCTTGTGGAAACAAAATGGCCACGGTTATGGCCATTTGCCCTCTTAACAAGGCCAGCAGAGTCCAAGTCCCAGCATTTCTACCCAAAGTGCTGAGGTTCACCTCTGATTGGACAGCCCATGCCTGAGCAAATTACCATGACCAGGGTGCAAGGG